AACAATCGCATGCACCCATAAATGTCTCTCGTGGCCAAGTTGCAAGTCCCTTAACTTCAAGAAAAAAACGAAATCATGCGATTTGCTTGAAAGAAATTTGACAAAGAGTGCAGTGCACTTAACAAAAGACGTCGGTTCTGTTTACATGACGACAGAAGAGGACCAAATGAACGTAAGGCCTATTTTATTTGCTGTTTTTAAAAATGGTTTTATTCCAATTTCAATCTAATTATTGTATATAGTACTTAACTTGAGAAAAGTGACTGGTAGCACGATGCAACATTAGAGTCACTACCAAATTTATAAATAGCTCAGGCTACACTGGATACGGGATAGTAGGGGATTCTAAGTTTTGCGTCAAGATGAAATTTTTTCATATACTTGATTTAATATGGGTAAGAGGGAGGGTATGGAATTGGGTAAGGGGGAGGGGTTTATGTAATTTAAGCTGTACATTGCTTGATAGTGAAGTATGAATAATGTCTTTTTTAGCAAGGACCAACCTGCAAAGCACTTAGGCCATGTCAGAATGGTGGCACGTGCCAAGATACCTGTGATAATATAGGATACAAGTGCACATGTGTCCTCCCTTACTATGGAAGCAACTGCGAAAAAGGTAAGAGCTGGTAACGTCTTTTGCAGGAGTTTTTGGGGTGGGGCTGGGAGATACTTACTCGAAAGTCTTCAGCGTATCTTCTCAGTAATAGAGTTCTCAAGTGTGACGTCACAAAAAACTACTTTTAGAATTTTTAAATTTTGATCACATAACATGAAAGAACACCATAAAATACTTCCATAATCAGTTAAATTTGTCAAAAATTGGGTGAGCTATGGTCAATAGAAGATTTGAAGTTTGCTAACGGATTACTGTTATTTTGGCTCAGTTAATAAAGTTATGAACTGAGACCAAATTACAGAGGTTTGATGGGGCCAGAGCTTGTGCTCATGTGGCCATATCTCAGCCAATTCGTAATACCTTAAACTGATTTTGCAGATTTAAAAGTATTTCATGATGCTCTTTCAGGATATGGAAACAAATTTCAAAAATTCTAAAAACAGATTTTTGTGACGTCATGACTTTGGAACTCTATTGTTCTAAACTCGACACCATACTCACTGTTGAAAGGAAAATTTTGCTAGTTGTACCTAAGTTGTTCAGCTTCAGAAGCGAGGAATCTAAATGATAATGGGTAGAAAAGGGGGACACAGGAGAGACTGGGGAGGGGGGGGGGGTAGTTAGAGCACTGGTAGGCTTCGCATAGTTGTAATGTACGATTAATGCTATTCTGAATCAAGGTTTATCCACTTTTGTAACAACCAACATCCGAATCTTTCAAAATTCACCAAATCAAAATCTTTATAGGAAGTTAATCATCAAAGTAAAATAAATATTTACCAGCACAAACTTTCTCCAGCCAAACATGTTCTTACTTTTTAACGAGACGATGAGCCCTTCTGAAAGCTAATGTTTCGCTTCGACAAGAGGGCTGAGACCTCTGACCCCTCTCCACGGAATCGCTGACTTTCATTAAACAACTCATACGACTTTTATTGGTTATTTCATCGTTTAAACTCTATTTTCATCGAAGAATGGACAGTATTTCAACGACGTGTTTCGGCTGACGTCGATTTCTACCGCAATCGGACTTCATATAAAGTCGGATTTGGTGATCCATCAGGGAGTTTCTGGCTTGGCTTGGACAAATTGCATGAGTTGGCAAAGCCTGGCGCAGGCGCAATGCTCCGCATCGACATGAAAGTTAGAAACGGTCAGAGCTATTACGCAGAGTACAGTAAATTCGAAGTCGAAAATGAGACAACTAGTTATCGATTGACTGTTTCTGGATTCACTGGTACGAATTCTGTAATATTGCAAGTAAATTTAAGGGTGATTACAATGATTATGATTGAATGATTGTCGATAAGATGACGACTAGTTAGATTGATGGTTACGATCAATTGATTGTTATGATTGAATGATAATTGATTGACAGTAATTATGATTGATTTATGATTGATTGATTGATTGATTGATTGATTGATTGATTGATTGATTGATTGATTGGTTGATGACTATGATTGATCGGTGATGATTGGTGATTGAATGATTATTGATTGTCAGTGATTATGATTGATTTATGTTTGTTTGTTTGATTGATTGATTGATTGATTGATTGATTGATTGATTGATTGATTGATTGATTGATTGATTGATTGATCGATTGGTGATGATTGGTGATTGAATGATTATCATTTTTGATTAAACTGATTATAATGAAGATGGTTGTAATTATTTCCATTATTTTGTTTTTAGGGAACGTACAAGATTCATTTACTTATCATAATGGATTCAAATGGACCACGTACGATAGGGACAACGATATATTTCCAACAAATTGTGCCATAGATTATAAGGGGGCGTGGTGGTTTAAATTTTGCTCTTTATCAAACTTGAATGGTATTTTCTTAAATCCGGGCGAAATCGAACATCCTCACACAAATCTCCGTTGGATTGGTCTGAATAACGTAACTTTTAGTGAAATGAAAGTCAAGCAAAATAGCTAGAGGAGACAGGGTTCAAAAAAGTTGTGGCCAAGGCAAATTGATGACTCGTGCGCAGTAGCGGAGCCACGAGGAGAATGGGGGGGGGGACTAGTCCTCCCCCCCCACTTTTTCAGAAACTCGGTCCTTGAGATTCTTGCAAACCTGAATAAAAAACCTCGGGGGGGGGGGGGATATGTACGCTATCTAGATCGTCACATTTAAATGACATTTCTCGGGAGACAAGAGGTGCTTCCTCCGGAAGAAAATGTTTCAAACAGGGGACAAGAGGACGTGGTCCCTGACACACCTTTTGCCTCCCATTTTACAACATATTGGCTAAAAGCTTTTTCGTCTGACATATTAACTTAATCTTGCATGATAAGAATTTGAATGTTAAATCATTTAACTTCATCCATACATTTGCTGTGCTGCATTTTGGCTTGTATGTAGTCACTATTAGCTTGTTTTTCTTTTAAAATTAGAATCCTGATTTAAGCGGCCCAAGTTCGATAAGCTTTGGTTTTTCTGGATTGTAAATACTGCAAATTCAGCCGTTTTTAGCATTAACATTACATTGAAGAAGAAGTTGAATGCTAGCTCAGATGTAGCTGAATTGTAGAAGAGGTGGATCTCATGGAGAAAAGATCCACCAATCTGCAATCCCTGAACATTCTGGCTCATCCTCTCGTATGGTTTATTTATCAAAATACATCATAATTCATCAAACTACATCATAATTTATCATAATTAATCATAATTCATCAAACTACATCATAATTTATCATAATTTATCATAATTTATCATAATTCATCAAAATACATCATAATTTATCATAATTAATCATAATCCATCAAACTACATCATAATTTTTCATAATTCATCAAAATACATCATAATTTATCATAATTTATCATAATTCATCAAAATACATCATAATTTAACATAATTAATCATAATTCATCAAAATACATCATAATTTATCATAATTTATCATAATACCTCAACCAAAGCTACTTTTACATAAATTCTAGTTCAAAACAAAGTTAAATCATTCAAGTGAAGAATAAATACTTACTTACGACCGTTTACTTTGTTTATGGATCTTCCTTTCTCATAACTGATGATGTGATAGAAACGTCAAATTCAAGGTGTTTCCTTTGACAGGGAATATTTCTTCGCCATGTAGGCCCAAAACATTTCAAAGAATCATCTTTAGTTTTCCTTTCAGTCAATATGTCTTTTTTACAAACAGACGTCTGGTGCCCGAAATATTTCTGTTACCTTCTATCATACATCATAGCCAAAAATACATACCTTATTTTCTACGGGCCCCTCAAGGCCCCGGGCCCCCTGGTAACTACCCTGATTACCCCCTCCCCTCCTCTCGACGGTCCTGCTATCATACGTACAGCGGATTTCAATGTTAACGGATATTCGTTGGCAAAAAGGAAAATTCACTATCATTCAAGAGAGACAACATAGGGTCAGTGGCGTACCTAAGGGGGGGGGGGGGAATAGGGGGTCCGGACCCCCCCCCCACTTTTCTAAAATATGGTCCTCGAGATTTGTCCAAAAACGATGTAAAACTCATTGGGGGGGAGGGGTAGTTTACTGATGCTTTTGTCAATAACAATTGTAAAATACTTTGCTATTAACCGTAGCTAAAATGAATCAAATAATGGGGGAAAATTTGCAAAAAGGGCGTTTCCCCGCATTTGCGAGTGTTTGAAGGGCGTGGTCCAAAAAAATTTCCTGGGGGCTACGCCCCAGTCCCCCCATTGCTGACGCCCTGGGTACGCCACTGCATAGGGTATAAGTACACATTAAGCTCAATCTCCACTGAGAAAAAGTCTTGCGAAATTTCGCTGCGAAATACTTCACGCGACAAATTCCTTTGAATGCTTTCGTTGACCTCACGACATTGGAATGTAAAGTTTGGAAGCGTGACAAAGGAATACGGAATCTGATTGGCTGTTGAAGGATTTCGTAAGCGAAAAGCGAGAAAGTTAAACTCATTTTAACTTTTTTTCGCAGAGAAATACTTCGCGAGAAATCCCAGCAAAAGATCAAGCATAAAAGATCACTGCGCATGCCTAAGACGTATTTCGCGCGAACATTTTCGCATATCGCTGATTTTTTTCTCACTGGAGATTGGGCTTTACGTAAGCAAAATTGACAACCTTTGTAATTTTCTCTAAATCATTAAGCTTCAACAATAGGCCATAATGACAGTAAACGTTTGTGTTAATCCCCAATTTTTGATTACGTATTATGTGAATGTTTTCATAGCCAACACGTAGAAAATTTTGTCAAACTACAACCATTCTAGATGGAAGGGGCACAGGCCCACAGCGTAGTGCCAAGTCGATTTTGCCAGAGTGCAAATTCTCTCTCTCAGTTATTAGACACAAGATAATTTGCGTTAGTCACAAAACAAATGTCATTAGTCTTGAGTTTTACACAAAATTAGTCAGTTGTAAGTTGGAAAAACATTCCGCTATCCACCTAGTCAAAATACCCTCTACAGTCTCCAGACATGGAATTAAAATGAGGTCTATAGACTTTGTTTTTCGACCTTGCCTGAAAAATTACAAGATAACCAGGTTTTGTAGTGAATGTTGCCTTCTTGTCGGTACCATAGTTATGATACTGATATCAATAAAACAAAATATGTTTTTTTTCAAGGATTCAAAAAACCATGGAGAATTCGCTGATTTAATGGGAAAACCAAAGAGTTTTACAGTAACACGGAGTGGGAATCTTTGTAACTAAACTTAATTTTTCTCAGTTAATGGTGCAGGGAAATGTTTTTGCAAACATACTTTCGTCAGGTCAACTGATGGCGGTAGCCGTTCCCTTTTGAAAGTTTTAAACATTTTGAATTTGACTTTTGAAAACGTTGATTTTCGAATAATTTTGAAAAAATTTGGCAAAGACTTTATTTCCCGGACGCCTTTTCGCTGTTAATTGTCGATGTTTCTCCAGTTAAGCTTAAAGAATGTTTTTATTGCTTTAGTCTTACGTATTCTTTGTTGATTGGGTATTATTTTTACTTGGGAATGTGTTTTGCTTTTATATATAAAGACGCTGTTTTAGTTAAAAGAGATTGGGCTTTTTGGTAGAAGCACGCAGCTGAAATTTGCAGTAGTAAGGGAAGAAGTTCGGTGTTGATCAATATTAGTCGTATCTTTTAGCTTCTCTTTGCCTCAAGTAAAGTCGGAAAAAACCGTGAGTTTTTTTATATATTTTAGTTATTGTCTTCTTAAAGTGTAGTATAACATAATTTGTAATTTGGGACTTTGGTAAACGTAGCTTGATTATCAATTTAAATTCAAATTAGTTGGTTTTAATTAGCTGTGAGTATAGTAGTGAGTATGCATAGCTAGAAATTGTACCAACTTTAAATAAAGAAAAAAAATCAGACAAGCAAAAAGTGCGGCGACAAAAAAGACAATGTATTCCAACCTTTATTGACGTGAAACAATTTGATAAAAATCAAAATATTGACATTTGAATCAAGACGTATAGTTAAGACAAAAATCCATGAAATTACAGTAAATTGACATTTCCAATGAGTATTTGAACGATTGCAAGAAAATGATTGCATAAATATTTTGAAATGCATTTTAAGCTCATCTGTAGGGCGTGGTCGCAAATATTTTCTGCTCGCTCCACTCGCAGGGGACCCTGTCTTTCGGTTTTACCCCAGGGCCTCTGGAACCCCTCGGCCTCGGCAGCCCTGTCAGTCTATGCGTGTCTTATACTCGAAGGACGTCGATAATTTAAGAAAAGTAATCGAGAAAGCATGTAAACGTTGTGAAAGAAAAAATAGACAGTCATATTGCTAATGGATACTCTCGGCCGAGCGCATTAACTTTGTTTATCGATTTTTAGCTGAAGTGAAGAAGTTGAGAAGGAGTCAAGACGAAGTGAAGCTGAAGTAAGAAAGCAGTTAAAAATAATTGAAAAGGTAAAGATCTAGACGAAGATAAAAGAATAAATCAGAAAAAGAAGAAGGGGATGAAAGAGAAACAGCAAGAAAAACAAGAAAAGATGAAAGAGGAAGAAGAGGAAATCAAGGCTAGGTAAAAGCAGAAGCATAGGAAAACGAAAGAGGAGAAAGAAGAGAGAAAAAGGAGAAGAATACGAATAACAACAACAACAAATTTTTCGAGGACGTTTGGAAGGGAGACGAATCAAAAGGAGGTTTTCAAGAAAGATTTGTAAGAAGAGTTGTAGGAAATTTCGAAGCAAGTTTTAAAGGAAACACCGAAAAAAGCTGTTAAGGAAGTAGAGTCAAGAAAAGTTGTTAACCTTCCTCTAGACAAAAACATCCCAGAAGGCAAACCTTCCTCACAAAACAATAGAAAGTGGGCGTGGTTTAGGTGTGTCGTAGGAGCTTCTATTGTTTTTCGTGGAACTTTCAACCGCGGTGGTGTGCAGATCTATTAAAGAAGAAGCATAAAGAAGAAGCCGACTTCTGAGAAGATTTGAAGGAAAATTCGAAGCAAGTTTTGAAGGAGAGTCTGGAGGAAGAAGTGAAGGAAGATTTGACATAAAGGAAAGTAAACAACATATTATTTGCAACAGAAAGGCTTCATCTGACGGAGCTGTGGGTTATAAATCTTTAAAAAAGCCGCATAAATTCTTAATAAATACTCGATGAAGAATTGGAGAAGAAACATTTGAAACCAATGGAAACGATATTCAACTGATCTTTGCAAGCTAAAATGATTGTTACGAAACTCTAATGATTCAGAGACTCAGAGAAAAGTAAATTTAAAGGGGAAATTTGATATTCACTGGTTACATGAACAAGATCTAAAAAAGAGCAAAACATGACATCTTCAAATCAAACTTTCATAGTCTTTACATGCCTTGCATTGATGACATTTGCAAGAGGTATTACAAGATTGCCTTGTAAATCTCAAAGCATGTTTAGCATCATTCTTCATGATACAAAGGACGCAGGGCCTGTCGGGAAGACAGTGACGTCAGCAACAACAATCGCATGCACCCATAAATGTCTCTCGTGGCCAAGTTGCAAGTCCCTTAACTTCAAGAAAGAAACAAAATCATGCGATCTGTTGGAGAGAAATTTCACGGAGAGTGCAGTGCACTTAACAAAAGACGTCGGTTCTGTTTACATGACGACAGAAGAGGACCAAATGAACGTAAGGCCTATTTTATTTCTTTTTATCCAGAGTAGTTTCTTATTCAATCTATTGATTAGAAGTAATATTTGGAAGAGGCGAGGTTAATTTCGCGCAAATTCCGAGGTTGTACAAAGGCCAATCTATATTTTTTTATAAGGAGGGTTTGGCTGGCTAGTTGTAAAGTTTCGTCAATAACAAATCCTTTTATAAATTAAGCTGTACATTACTTGACAGATAAGTGTGAAATTATTTGAATAATGTCTTTTATAGAAAGGACCAATCTGCAAAGCATTGATGCCATGCCAAAACGGTGGCACGTGCCAAGATACCTGCGATAATAAAGGATACAAGTGCACATGTGTCCCCGGTTACACTGGATTCAACTGCGAGAGCAAGGATGGTAAGAACACTGCCCATTAATTTCTAAAGGGATAACGTAATAAGAAAATGTAATCAGAAATCTTACATAAACTAGTAATGAAATGGGATGGGGGTTAGGGTGGGGGAGGGTTAGGGGGGGAGGGTTAGGTGGAGGGAGGTTTAGGGTGGGGGATTGGGTTTTTGGGTAGGGGAGGGTTAGGGTGGGCGAGAGTTAAGGTGGGGAGGGTTAGGGTGGGGAATGGGTTAGGGTGGGGGAGGGTTAGGGTGGGGAAGGGTTAGGGTGGGGGAGGCTTAGTGTGGGTGGGGGTTAGTTTAGATTTGGGAACTGGGTGGAGGATGAACACTCCCTTTAGATATTTCGGCATCGACAGTGTACTTCGTTTACGTTTAAAAATTAAAAAACAAAATCAAATAACTAGTTTTTAGGCCATTTGTGCAATTATGGAGAGAAGTTAGAAGATACCGGGAATAGCAGTGGGTTGAAAGTAGTATCTTTAGAATGATAAAGGGTTCCATAGATAGAAATTGTCCAGCAAAACTTAAGCTTGCTTTTTAACGGAAGGCTGAGTCCACAAGAAAAAAAGCGCCAGCAAAATTTTTGCCACAATTGGGGCAAGAGGGGGTAAAAAGAAACTTTCTTTACATTGTTGGCAGGGGCGCCTGCACAACTTAAAGGCAGGAGGGGCAGTGCTGGTACTAGGGGCAAGCAGTAGAGTCTTCCCACTACATAATCAATTATTTGTGGGGGTGGGGTGGTGATGCAAAATTAAATATTTGCATTGATCTGTTCCAACCATATAGCTGGGAATTCGGCAATGGAGGGCTCTTAACATATGTATAATATTGACAAATTTATCCATGCAGGTGGGTATTAAAACGCCTTCTCTTTATTCAGAGTCTTTGGTATTACGAAAATCATGGCAATTATAAATGGGCTGGCTGTAAGATTTTGATTGTCCGCTTAACCTCAATACTCCATGGTTGCAGAATTGAATCATTAAGAGTGTAAAAAAGAATATGATAACCAGAAAAATCAAATGTGAATCAAATAATTGTTTAGATCAGAGTTTTTCTTTATATTAAGAAGTAAAATCAGCATAGAAGTTCCCATTCTGGCAATGGACAGAAAAGTCAGTATCTTATAAAATGCAGTTGGTTTTTTTAGATCATTATCGTCTTGTGAAGAAGAATTTTCCATTATCAAAGACCGACAGTGAAAACATAACGAGAGTGGCTAAACTAGTCATTAATTATCTACGAGATTCTATAATCTTTTCTTAGGAGTTAATATTTTAAGGCACGGCTTGCCCCCTCTGCCCCTCCTGGAAGAGGGCAGGAGGGGCAGCTTGCCCCTCCAGGGTTGGCGTCCCTGATTGTTGGCCCTCACGTTTAGGATCAGTGGTGCGGACCCTGCTTAAGGCACCTGTCAGTCAAAACAGGCCAATCAACAAGCCACAAACACGTAAATTGATTGGCCAATAGATGAGTGACAGGTGGCTAAAGCTAATTTAGTATCTGCCGAATGCCTCTAAAATTAATTAGACCATAATAGACCAGTTAGCAATTTCCTTTCGCCTTTGCAACACTCTCATTGGTTACTACATTGTTCACGATATTTTCATCGAAGAATGGACAGTATTCCAACGACGAGTTTCGGCTGACATAGATTTCAACCACGATTGGGCTTCATATAAAGTAGGATTTGGTGATCCATCAGGGAGTTTCTGGCTTGGCTTGGACAAATTGCATGAGATGGCAAAGCCTGGCGCAGGCACAAAGCTCCGCATCGACATGAAAGCTAGGACTGGCGAGAGCTATTACGCAGAGTACAGTAAATTCGAAGTCGAAAACGAAGCTGCTGGTTATCGATTGACTGTTTCTGGGTTCACTGGTACACTTTCTCTAATGATATTTATGTCGCATTCTATTGAAGTCAATAATAATGATGATGATTATGATTGATTTATGATTAATTGAAAATGATTATGATTGATTGATGATTGCTTGGTTGATGATTTCTTGATTAATGATCATGATGACCATGATTGGTCAATGACGATTGATAGTGATTATCATCAAATGATTATTGATGACTTATAATGCTTGATTTATAGGGAATGTAGATGATGAATTTATAAATCACAGTGGCAGAAAATGGACCACGTATGACCGGGACAATGACGCTGCTATAAATGTGAACTGTGCCAAGTTGCTAAAATCTGGTTGGTGGTTTACTAATTGCGCTAGTACAAACTTGAATGGTGTTTTCTTAAAACCAGGAGAAGAAGAAAATAATGCACATCGTTTATGGAGCAGTGTTGAAAACATAAATTTTATTGAAATGAAAGTCAAGCCAGATGGCTAAGAAGAGGACAGGGTTTGGAAAGTCTGAGGCGAAGGCAAATTTAAGACTCATTTTGCTATGCTAAAGAGAATTTTTCCCGGTAGTGGTGCGATCAGTAAGTCCTCAAATAATCCCATACTTTCAAATAAACCCCCCTCCAGTAATCCCCAACCCTAAAGCATCTTTGGTGAAATAAGCCCTGCCTTTGAATAATCCCATACTTTCAAATAAACCCCCTCCAATAATCCCCAACCCTAAAGTATCTTTGGTGAAATAAGCCCTGCCTTTGAATAATCCCATACTTTCAAATAAACCCCCTCCAATAATCCCCAACCCTAAAGTATCTTTGGTGAAATAAGCCCTGCCTTTGAATAATCCCATACTTTCAAATAAACCCCCTCCAATAATCCCCAACCCTAAAGTATCTTTGGTGAAATAAGCCCTGCCTTTGAATAATCCCATACTTTAAATCCCCTTCAAATAATCCCCAACCCTAAAGTATCTTTGGTGAAATAAGCCCTGCCTTTGAATAATCCCATACTTTCAAATAAACCCCCCTCCAATAATCCCCAACCCTAAAGTATCTTTGGTGAAATAAGCCCTGCCTTTGAATAATCCCATACTTTCAAATAAATCCCAAAACTAAAGTATATTTAATGGAAGAAGCTCCACCTTTGAATAATCCCCTATGGGCTGAGTTATTGCCACAGCAGCAATAGTTTTATCCCAATATATTTGCATTTTGACCAGCCACAAATAAAGGAAAACAATTTAACCTTATTTTGGCTGCTGCTAAATAAGCCCCCGCCTTCAAATGAGCACTCCTTGAAGAACCTTCACCCCAAAACATTTTTGTGAAATAAGCACCAAGAAGTTTGTTCAAGGACTTACGATATTTTGTCGCATATCAGCAAAGATTTTGATGAGAATATATTTCATTTGTTTGTGCTAAGTAATCTGGCAACGCTAGAAAGAACTTGAAAATCATTCAGCTTTCTCTCAAGTCTCGGCTTTTGAAATGCTAGCCTCCCCCCAAATCTAAAGGCGCTCAACACCTTACATCCACAGCAGTACCTGACTTGCAGCAACAACAACTATGTATGTATGTTTAACAGCCCCCCCCCCCCCCCCCCCCCCCCCCCATAGAACAGATATGATCGAGAACAACAATGGAAAATATATACCCAGTTGTGGATCAAAATAGGCCAATCAGGAAAAATGCAAGTACATGAGCGGCAAGGTTGGTGAAAATCAGTGCAGGGTGCCTATAGAAAATAACCATTGGAGTCTAAAAGAGAAAACAAATTCCTTCTGTCTACACAATTGTGGCTTTTTAGTGTGTATGGTGGTTTTGTAAGAAAACAATGGCCTGCCTGCATTACATGAACCTAAAATATGCTGATCACCACATACAGCAAAACACCCAAGCTGTAAAACAAACACAACAAACAAGATTTAAATATCGTTTGAATAGTGTTATCTAATGATTTCACAGGACAGGACACGGGTCTAGGGCACAGGACACACAGTGATAACAGCGATGTTCTAATTGTTGATGTGTTTATCCTGTATAAATATTAGTTTTATTATTATTATTATTATATTTAATAGATGGAAACTTCGTGACCCTCTTTTTCCCCTAGACTATAGACAGCACTGTGGTAGTATTCTGTTTGTATGTATGTTTGTATATATAATCCAGAGTGCAAAGTATTTATTGTGCGCAGGGAATTATTTTCTGTCGCTTACGCTTGCACGGGAACAAATCATGATCCAAAATGACAGGTTAAAAGCTGCAGGATTTCATTTTTAAATAGCATTTTTAAGGCTCAAGATTAGTCTATGTGTGGAATTCACACAAAAGTCCATGTTCCCTGCGCATACCCAAACTTTGCAGTCTGGTGTATAAAAATCTTAAACGGAAATAACAGAAACAAGCAAAGCTTGTTTTCAGCTTGGTTTACAAATAAAAAATGGAAAAAAAATTTGGAAATGAAAATTTTTTTTTGATTTGATTAAAAAAATTGTTCACTAGAAAGTTTTGACACTTGAGTATTAACACTGAATATATTAGAACACTAGCAGACATTGTACATGCAATAATTAATTTACAGTCATCTGTCGTCATAGACTGCGCCTTCTTTTTGTAGTTTTTCTTTATAGGCATCGTAAATCCTCTTTTTGTCAAAATATCTGACCCAGGCCGAAGGGCAAGCCTCTTCATATTTCTTCAAAAGTTCTTCACAATTCTGTCTACCTTCATCCTCTACACATTTATAATAAGCATCTTTTGCATTGTAACATGCCTGGCGTCCTTTAGAACTTGGAGCTGGCATGTCGAGTCTCCTAAAAAAGCAGAAAAAAGAAAAATTAGATATACGACATAACAAATTTGAAGATATAAATGACACACCGGCCTCCAGTATGCAGAGTGTGGCTGACGCACGCGCGAGGTCAGGATAGTCCTGCACGCCAAAATTTTCTGATTGAACACCAAATTTACTATAGTGCTATTAAAAAAACTTAGATTTGCACGCAAAATGATTAGTAAAGAAAGGTTTGCACGCAGAAAACATGGCGTGAATGAGTACTGCACGCGCGAGATCTCGCCGAGAACTGCCATACTCTGCAGACAGGACCGGCCTAAGCCCCGTGGATTCAACACTGGCTGGCGACTGGCAGTAGCAACAAACTTAGAGGAGATGATTAAGGCTATCGAAATTTTTGTTCTTATTATAAGCTACATCGTTAAGTTCAATGTTTAGGCTAGCGGTAGGTAGATAATGGCCTAGACACTGGAAGCATTTTTAAAGTGGGGAAAAGGACACTTTGCTTTCCACCGGTTCTGAAATGTAGAAGGTACATTGTCCCTGTGCTTGTGGCAAAGTCTAAACAGAATACTCATCAAAAACATTGAATATTTACCTTTAAATATCTTGCTCTTTAGGCAATATTTTCTTTCATATTTAAGTGAATGTTGCATAAGCTCAGCGCTAGCAATATGGCTACCATCATTGATAGGTCTCTTTTTCAAGAAATTTCTTAATAATAAACCTCGATTTCAATTTGACAATCAAAATGATCAAATGCGTGCTGAAGAAATGGCGGACAGAACGGTGCTTTATTTGTAGATTGTTTTGCCGGTAAAAAACTGTTAAAAGGAGGATGGAGGGCAGCCAGCAACCGCAAAATACCACAGCTTCGAACAAGAAAGGTCTTTCAGCTTCTAGCTGCGTGTATACGAGCTGTTATTGGTGAGTTTTTAATTTCTGCAATACACTCATTTTTTATAAGAAACTGGCTATAAGAAGCGAGTACTGGACAGTCAGAAAAAAATTAAGAAACTTCAGTACTCAAAGCAAAAAAAGTAAGAAACTATTAAATCGTGATAAAACTGAGAACAACGAAATTTTGTAAAATCCAAGTTTGCAATCAAGTTCTAACATGATTGCCCTGTTGGCTTAGAACTTAAGACACAAGGGATAAAAATATACTTCCCACATCTAAATACAGCATCGGAACGGAAGCGAATCTATTGACGTGATAAAAAGGGTCACAAACATTTCATAAAATCATTCATAACATCATAATTAAGAAACTTTTAAGAAACAATGAGTATTGAAATTTCCAGAACATTGAGAAACTGGAGTACTCAACATCGACCTTTGTTTCTTATAAAAAAATGAGTGTAGTCCCTGCACCATTAAAGTATATGGAGTGTATGGGAAATAGAAATGCCTACTTTAAATGATAAAAAAAATTGTGATTTTTAGCTTCCACTTATAATTGTTGATTGATCTCTGTTTCACAAAAAATTGGATTTCCCATAAAGAATTAAAAGTATACATTGTCACTATAAACAAACAAGTTATTAAAATATATAGAATTTAACTTCTTGATTTTTGTTGCAAAACAGAAAATTTCCAAATCGTGCAATAGTTTCTGCTTCTATTTAGATTGTTTATCAAGGCTATAGTTTGCTATGAACATTTTCTTTTCAACGCGATAATGATAATGAGGGAAAAACATATGGATATCCAAAGATATTAAATCCAGGCAAAATGTTTGTGGCTACAAAGATTCAATTTTGATTGATAAAGAAAATTCAAGCTTTGTTTTAATCTATAAATATTGTCAAAATACTTTCAACAGAAAAGCTTAGGACAATTGGAAAAGCTTCAGAGATTTTTGTGTTAAGTAGCCTTTTCTCAACTCAGGGTGCATTTAATGTCAACTGTACGCCAAAAGCTAACCTCGAAGCAGGATAGATAATCAGAACGACCGTAATGACTGGGGCGACGATATGAAAAATCACATGTTTTTAAAAACCCCCGCAGAGTTGCTTGCTTTAGCTGGACACATTACTCTTACTGTCAACTGTATGCCAAAAGCCCACCAGGGCATTTGTTTAGGTAAGCCAAAATATAAGCAGGTAGTAGAACTGTAAATATTGTACACCAGTCAAAGGAAAATTTTATTCTTTTCATGTTGACTTTGTTCGTGGCTTCTTGTTTTACACCAAGTTTCACATACAGGTACAGAATTTGAAAATATAGTCTACTATACCAGTCTTGTGCTTGTGTTTTTCTGATTGGCCTATTTTGATCCACAACTGGGTATATGTTTTTCATCGTGTTCTTTCGGACACTTATTCTGACGTTTTATGCTCTGAGGAGTGTCAGACGAAAAAGCTTTTAGTATGTTGTAAAATTTTTGCTTTTTTCAAAGCCATTTTCCAAAAAAATTTTATTGGGTTGCACACCAAACGCTGAAAAAACCCTGATTATATGCCGAAGATCTTCAAGCCTAATTATATGCCAATGCATCCTGTGTACTTGAGAGCCAAAATGCAGCATACTAAAATAAACAACAGTATAATATGCAGCTGTTTTGTGTCAGAGCTACTTTGACAGAATTGCTAGCATTTTGTTCTAGCTTCCTCTCAGCCTAAGTTTTGAAAGCGTAGTCCCACTGAAGTGACCACAAACTGTTTGAATTTTCTTTCTCAAGCTCAAACTCATTTGAATGCATTTCACAGGCTTTGGGGAGCACCCAATTTTCTCCAACCTATTTCACTGAAAAACTGCAAAAAGCAATAAGCCTTTACATTTGACAGGAGGGATGACTCGCCTTTGATCCCTTGTGCAAACAGTGAATTGTGAGGAATAAATGTCAAATCAATTATCCAGGCCTGGCCATTTGAGGAGAGCAATAACCTAAGCCTTGTTAGACATTTGTTTTGAGTGAAAAAAATGTGTCTGAGTAAAGATAATTTTGTCTGCTGATGAGAGAACTGGGCTTAAGCAACTTATTTTTCTGTTGTACACAACATGTCTTTCGTGTTTCTCATAGTCTTATTGAGTTACTGCCAAAGAAAAGTTGTATACTGAGAAGGAGTTGTCAAAAGAAAAAAGTATTCAGGCCTGGCCATTTGAGGAGAGCAATAACTCTGGCTCCCCTCCAGGCTCTCCTCAAACGCTGGAAGGGAGCTAGAGATTGCTCTCCTAAATTGTTCTAAAAAGCAAATTTGCTGTTTTTGAAATCAATTTTGCCTTTGTTTCTATTCTTATAGCTCACCTGAATACTACTAGGAGAGCTGTTTACTGCTCTCCTGTTAAAAGTCTTACGACCAGGCCTGAATTAACCCATTTCTAGTCATCTTTTGTGACCCAAGCAAGTGACATCAAAGCTGGTATATCAAAACACAGGAAATATGAAGGAAATAATGTATTTGAAATCAATTCTACCAGGAATGTTTAGGAATACTTAAGGTACTTATTATTTAAACTACAATAGCACTTGGGACATTTTTTAGGCAGTTGAAGGGTTTTTAAAAAAGGTTTGGAACAATATTTTGCAATCATCCAGCACTGATGTCTATATGACCTTGGAGGTGTAGATAATGTTTATAAACAAAGCACATATTTGGTATTTAATTTTCCTTGGAGTGCATTTAGGGTTATTGTAACAGTTCGTTTTCATTTGATATTATTTAAAACAAAAGGGTAAATTTTAACAGGATCATAGGATTTTTATAAACATTACTATGCTTTTAGCATTGTTGATTTTTGGAGTGCTCGCTGGCATAAGAGAAATCCACGATCGCTGGGCAATTTACTAAGGCTATTTCATACAAAAAGGCCTGTGTTTGAATGTCAAAACTGTGAAGCATCAAAACAATAACCCAAGCCTTGTTAGACATTTGTTTTGAGTGAAAAAAATGTGTCTGAGTGAAGATAATTTTGTCTGCTGATGAGAGAACTGGGCTTAAGCAACTTATTTTTCTGTTGTACACAACATGTCTTCTATGTTTCTCATAATCTTATTGAGTTACTGCCAAAGAAAAGTTGTATACCGAAAAGGAGTTGTCAAAAGAAAAAAGTATTCAGGCCTGGCCATTTGAGGAGAGCAATAACTCTGGCTCCCCTCCAGGCTCTCCTCAAACGCTGGAAGGGAGCTAGAGATTGCTCTCCTAAATTGTTCTAAAAAGCAAATTTGCTGTATTTGAAATCAATTTTTCCTTTGTTTCTATTCATAAACCTCACCTGAATACTTCTAAAAGGGCTGTTTACTGCTCCCCTGGTAAAAGTCTTTTGGACTGGCCTGCATAAATTTTGCATAAATTTGGACAGGCCTGCATAATAAATTCTCATAAATTTTGTTGATAGAAGGCTCACAACAACTAGAAACAAAGAATTGTTTTATAGTTGTTGTATATGTTAAAGGCATTGAGTCATGATAAAATGGATTGGGTATACCCTGAGTGCCAAAATCCGCTGAGCCATGATTTTCATGACTGCAATGCTATTGGTTGACCTTGAACTGGTCACATGAACTCATCTCGTACTGATTGACATAACAGTTTCCATCAATAGCAAGTTGTCAACAACGGATGCAAATATCACATGAAACAGCAGCAATCACGCCGAAACCAAATGACCCCTTATAGAGAAGGCCTATTTACCATGACTCAATGCCTTTAAGGCCTAGCTATAGGCTTGTGAGGAGCAAGAAACAGGCGGCAGACAAACTGAGCAACTTCAACTTTCCAGGTGCTCAATTGAGCATCATCAAATATCATCAATAACAAAATCTGTTTTTTCGCATTTAGTTCTTAGATAGCATAAACATGCTAGGTGCTCAATCAGTCAAACTACTAGAACTGTTAAGGTGTGTGGGGAGGCACTTGATGGAGCTCGGGCCCCCCTCCTTGCAAGGCCTACAATGATCTGGAATTCTATCCCAGAGCAAATTAAGGATGCAGAAAGTGTACAAACTTTAAAACATGACTAAAAAAGGTGCGTCAGACAATAAATAACTTCACTTTTCAAAAAGGATTAACTGGATTTTTAAACAAAGAGAATGATTTTAAATATTACTAGACTGCTAGTAAACAATTTTTAAATTTGTTTATCTTTTACATGATGTAATAATTATTTCCTTTAGCCTTTAATTTATAGCAGGTCCACATCAGCTCTTTTGAGTTGCCAGACTTTTTAACCTGCTTTAAAAAATAAAAAATGTATGTATGTATGTATAGGCTCGTGAGCCTTTTCTCAACATCATAAGCTAAAAAATGATAATGTTTACTTTTTGTTTCCAGTGAGGAGAATGTTTGGAAACTGTGTGAAAGAATAAGAGATGAACAAATCGACCAACTTTCAGAATATTACGCAGTTTTTATTTCCAATGCAACAAGGCAGGTATGTGGCCAGCAACATCAGCAAATTGTCTAGCTATTTATTCATTATTTTTCAATTCCACCAGAAGGGCTGCAAAAAACATTTAAACCTGGGAACTGCTATCCTGCATGCAGACTTTACAAGTAGAAGAAATTGTAAAGTCTTGGCAACATCACAGATTTCTTTGTATTGACTTATTTTGCGAGACTATTGCCTTATTCAAATTGCTTTGTCTTCAGAGCCAATGATATGTCTTTCCACAATTTTAAGGAACAAATCATGATAATTCCCTTTTTTTGTTTAGGGATGTCTTTGCATACTAGCCATTGAATAAATTTGATCATGTGAGACCTGTTGCCATTATTCTGTCATGAAAAATAACCAGACCCGTTGCTACTGGTGGCGTTTGGGGTGGGACACCACCCGGGGTGGGACACCACCCTTGAAAAAGGTCTATTGCAAAAACGAAGAGTTTCTTGCCACATAGGGGTGTGAATTTCCAAACGTATAGAAAAATAGAGGATAGCCCACCAACTTTCTTGGCAAATAGGACTTGGAAACCATCCTTGAGCACAAAAGCTAGTAACCGGCCTGAAAATAACATTAACCGATGAAGAATAAAGGGCCACATAGGCGAAACAACTTTTTACCTTTTTCCCTTTTTTAGTTTCTTTTGCTGACGAAGTAGGCAGTTTGCGGAACGGTTTGATCCTTGCAGGCAGTTTTGTATACAAGTAATAGAAAATTCAATTCAAAGCCATTGTAGCAAAGATAAAAGATTGCAAAAAAGACCTTTTCCTAAACAAGTGCCAACACAGTATACAAGAAAACAAGCACTGTTGCCCAGACTTAACAATTTCCTCTATTTGTCTGCATTCAGGCTACAATACCTGCCAAAAGTCTTGGAACACTGACCTCATTTTCCAAGGTCAAAACCAATCATCCCCCTCTCCCCCACGGAACAATGTTGGTTTACTATCAAACGGGTTAGGATTTTAGGAAGCACTTTCTTTTGCGCTTCTTTTATGATATTTCTCTAAATCATCAACATTGTTTGAGGGGGAAGGGGCGGAAGTAGCAAATTTTTTTCATGAAAGGAATGAAAGATATCAAATGCAGCGTAAATTGTTGGGTGTTCCAAGTACTTTTAGCAGGCATTGTAGGGAACTACTATTCTCAACAAAAATAGTTGACACTTCTCAAGGTAACTTGATGTTTTCTCTTCCCTTTGAAAAATTACTCCCCCCCCCCCACAACTGATTCAATGCTGAAAATAGGTTTGTGGAGCAAAAATGATAGAACTACTAATCCAACGAGAATTTTGAGAAATGGGATTCAAATTTACAGGGGCAGTACAAATTATAATATTGCAAAAGTTGCATTATGTCTTAACAATTTTTTCTAGGATGGTAGGTTCCTTGAGAATTTTCAGAGTTGCAGAAAAGTTTTAAGAAACAACAATTTTGGATGAAAATGATATATATCTTGAATTATGCTGTTCTTAGAATTGTCAAATAGTTAAAGCTGAAAATGCAAACCAATTAAGAAATTCTCAATTTTAGTGAAACTTTTTTTCTCAATATCTTCAACTTGCAGATATTTTTTCAAAAAATTTATCGTATTTTCCAGTGAAGAATTTTTTCTGCAGCCACAACATTCTGTACAGTATATGATGATTGTCCCATGATTGACTTTAAGTCTGTGCTAATGAATTTTAAGTCCGAAGCTACTTCTCTGAGTTTCATGCTGAATGAGATCATAAGTCAGTTGTACCAAGTATTACTGTTTGTTTTTGACTTTATTTCTTTCATATTAACTTTAATTTAATTTATTTTATTTGTTTCTTAAAGGTTCCTCTATGGATGCAAAAGCAAAGCAGACATCCTCTTACTCCAGTTGTATGGGTATGCATCATTATCATCATAACTGAATTAAATCATTCAAAATCATTCAAAATAAAAATGGCAGCCAATAAACATGACTCTGTGAAAAGTATACTGAAAGTTTTATAAACCCGTCATACCGTAAATCCTTGAACTGGCCCCCCACCCTTGAAAAGGCACCCCTTTAAAAAGCCTCCTTGAATAATCCCCACCCTAGAACTACAAATTTTCAATAACCCCCTTTCTCACGAAAGCCCCCCACTGCTACCCTAAATCCTCAAATTGGCCCCCTCAATTTGTTGATTGTTGCCATCTATGGTTTTCTTCAGTGTTTATTGAATTACCACAAAAATTCATACTTTTGCTTATAATTAATTAAATGTTAATAAATAAATTCCTACTAAAATATATGAGGTCTTTTAATAATTTCTTCTTGATGTCTACTTTAATTTTGTAAGCCCCCCTTGTATAAGCCCCCTTGTATAAGCCCCCTTGTATAAGTCCCCCTTGTATAAGCCCCCCTTGTATAAGCCCCCCTTGTATAAGCCCCCCTCTCACATAACTAAAATTGAATAAGCCCCAGGTGCATTTACGGTACTAATGTTCCTTTATCTGATGCTTTACATCTGACAATAAAAATTTAATGACTGCCACCGTTGATTAAGGACACTCTCTAGGCTTAAAACCAAAAAAATTGAATATTTGGATAGAAAAAATTTTTGTCGATTCTGTAGGCAAATTTATTATAGTTTCTCATATGGTACTTTTTAATGTAAGAAAATGCTACCCCCGACTTATGCAGCCTCTTTTATACCCCCTACCTTCTCTCATATTATTGAAAACAGCTGTTTTGGGGATCGCGTCATTGCATTTTCGTCAATCATCATTCTATCTGGAACGCGAGGGCCTATAACATTAGCAAAGGTACCATTTCGAGCCTCATCCTCTCGTTAAGTTTGCCATTAACAAAATGCCTCATTTATTCCAAAAATCTTGCCGAAAAAGAGATGAGATTAAACTAGCATGTTTTCAATTGTTCTGTTGCTACAAACATAGTCTTAGGTCTTAGCCAATCAAAGGCCTCACTCGAATGATTGACCAATCACAATTTGCTTGTTTATATAGAGACAAGCTACTTTTTACCTCCACATCAATCCAATATACATGTCCAGGTTTTAGCAAGATAGAGCTTAAAAGAAAATGTCTACATTAATCCTTTACATGAAATTTACTCAAGATGTACATGTAATTTCAAATTTAAATTGAAGTTTTGTTTCAGATGAGTTCAGGCTTTTTGTTGAGCACTGTCCTAAATATGGGCTCCGAAAACAATATCAGTTTATTATCTTTGGCAATTGAGTTTTTAAGTGTGATGTAAAATAAATCTATTATTAGAAGTTTTGAATTTTCACCACATAATCTAAATGACCACCATGAAGTTAGTATGTAAATTTAGATAAATATGTCAAAATTCGTGTGAGTTTTGATTAGTGAAGTCTGCCAATAGATTGCTGTTATTTTGGCTCTGTTCATAAAGTTATGCACAGAGACAAAATTACAGAGGTTTGATGAGGAAAGAACCTGTGCTCATTTGGCCATATCTAAGCCAACCAAATTCGTAACGCATTTGACAGATTTTGCAAATTTATAGGTTTTTCATGACGCTCCTTCAGGTTAAGGGATCGAAATTCAATCATTCTAAAGTTAGATTTTATGACGTCATCACTTAAGGCAACCTGTCCCGTCCATGATTGGCTAATATGAACAATAGGGCTTCCCGCCTTAACGGATAACGGATTACGATGCTTGCTTTGGCTGGCCTAGCTGCGGTAGTAGACGATATTTGAAACTGCGAGCAAAAGACTCTCAGAAATGGCAAGAAGATTTAATAACCGGAGTTGAATGATGATAACGGAAGCATTTCCTTCCGCTGTTGACATATCTGTCGCAAAAACAAAACAGGGAACAAACTTTTTCTAGCCACAGCTTCACTTCAACGGGAACACAGCCATTTGATTCAAAAGCTCTGGAATCCATGCTGTCTCTGATTGGTTTAAATCGTTTAATTATCGATCAAGCTCAACGGTGCGTGAATTTCACTCCCGTGAAAAAAAAGTTGAGCAGAAAAGGGGACAGACTGCCTTTAAATAAATTCTTATTCTCTGCCCATAGGATTATCATGTGATACTTGTCCGAAAATGTCCAGATGGAGAGTCCTATGTATATGATCTGGATTGTATACTTGCCTTTCCATGTCATCTGTCTGACTACGCAAGTCAGGTGCTGCGAAGTAACAAGGGATTAAAAAAGCAATTTCACAGGTATTCCATTTAATTGCTCATGTCATATTCGGTTTGATACAGTATGATGTAGAATAATGTTGTATAATATCATACAATATTATGTTATTTAATATGGTATAATGTAGTGTAAGATAATGTTGTACAACCTGGCTTCATTTGATGAAATATAGTATAATATGATTATAAGTAACATAATATAACAAACATAGCATAACATGACATACATAACATGACGTGACGTGACATGACATGACATGACATGACATGACATGACATGACATGACATGACATGACATGACATGACATAACATAACATAACATAACATGACATAACACGACATGACATAACATAACATAACATAACATAACATAACATAACACATTACATAACACATAACACCTAACACCTAACACCTAACACATAACATAACATAACACGTAACATAACATAACAAAACATAACATAGCAAAACATAACATAACACAACACAACACAACACAACACAACACAACATAACATAACATAACATAACATAACATAACATAACATAACATAACATAACATAACATAACATAACATAATGTAACGTAACGTACCACAAAATAACAATTTGCCCGTTACTTTTTCAGAAAATTTCGTGTTGTTCCGGCCGCTGTTTTTCTAAACACATTTGCATCTGACCGGTCACATATGAAGAAACCGAATGGAGAGTGGATTCAGGAACCACCGGATTATCCTGCTATCCGGACTGCAGGTGAGGAAACCACGTATTGTACTTCTTTTTGAGTCACCCTGAGACTCTGAGCAACTCCTGTATGTAGGGATTGAGAAAAGGTAAATTTTGTATCAGCTTGGACGTGAAGAAACGAATAATAAAGGTTCTTACTTAAGTCATATCACCATATTTCTTTGGATAAAGGATGGCGATACAAAAAGCAAAGGCCACTTTTTCGGCTAGGATACGGCCACTCGCGGCTGAAATAACACTAAAAATCATACCTTACTGATGTACATTATGAGCGAAATACATTATTAAAGTTTGCTGGACAACTTTGGAGTAATAATTTTGTAATAGAGTGTCTAATTCCATCTAAATTCACCAAGAGAAACGGGATATCTTCACCATGATTGAATGAAGCTTAATCTCCTTAGCCTAGACCAAATTGGCATACACTTTTCGTTTCGATTGTCGGTACATATGCTGAAATATAGCAATTGTCCATTCCGTGTTCGGTAAATGCGCTCAGAAAATACAATTTATCCAGCTTGTGGATGCACCGGAGCACCATCCGCCATTATCCTAATGTGCAAGACAGGCTAAAAACGCACAATTTCCCGTGTATTTGGTTTGTTTACAAAACCGTGACACAGCCCCTTTAAAACGTCAAAACTGTTGACCTTAACTTAAGCAATCTATGACTGTTGACCTTTGAACTGCAAATTTCATCGACCTATAACCTTTAGTGATCTTTAACCCTTCACCTTTCTTCATTTTAAAACTCTGATTCTTTATGTTCTACATTCTAGATGATACCATGAACCTAGAAGACTTTATTGATATGAACCCTGAATTTGGCGAAGGCCAAGTGAAAGATCTCAACTTCTTTCTAACGATGTTCGCCATGTAACAAAAGGCGAAATGACGTCATTGAAGACAGCCAGTTCTCTGTACTTTTCAGATCGACGGGTCCTGGAAACTAAATACCACTGGGTTATTTTCGAAGCTCTTCATACTCAAATGTTTATTGTTGAAAGGACATTTGGGCCTATTTCCACGTTTTTGAACTTCTTTGTAAATATCGATGCTTAATTTTTATTTTTTGGAGACACTGATTTGTGCCTCCTTCAGACAATATGCCAGAAAGAGACATCGAAGTACTTTTTTCTGAAATAATTATATTTTGGTCATCATTTACTTTCGTAATCTGACCACTGTTTATCAACAGCGGAAACCGTTCCTGATTTAACGTATACTTTTCAGGAATTTCCCTCGTCATGAAGTTTCCTTTAGTGTTCCATGGAACCTACTGGCTTAAAGAAACATTATGACCTCCTCCTCCTTTGACACCCTGTATACCCAATTCTAGGCCCCTTTACCAATGGACTGGTTTCTACCATATTTAAATCTTGGCATCAGCCGGTATTGGCAATTCAATTTATACATTAAAATTGCTAAACTGCGATTTGCTTACTTCAAGCCAATTTTCCCACCATCACTTGAAAACGTTTGCCACCTTACATCAAATTTCCTCCTTATCATCAAGTTGCACAGATGTGTTGCTAGGTTACCACTGTAAATGACGTAAGGTTGCTTCAAGGCTTCATACCCATAATGAGTAAAAAATCTTGGAAAACATTTTTGCAACAAAATACAATTTTTGCAATTTTATACAGCTTCTTCAAGCCAGTCAAATAAAGTATCAAAGTGGGACATCGTCAAAATATATTTTTAGAAATTTTAACTTTTGACAACATAAACTGAAATAAAATAAAATGCTGCTTAATGTAAAATATATGTTAAGTTAGTCATAAATTGCCTGAGGCATAGCGAATAGAAAGCTTAGTTTTTCCTAACGGATTCCTGTTGTTTGGGGCTAAAACCTAGACCAAATTACTGTTATTTGATAGGAAAGAGCTTGTGGTCACGGAACCAGTCTAAATTCTGTTTCAGGTGACGCAGTCTAAATTGGACGATTCTAAAAATAGATTCAGACGTCATCATTTTGGAATTCCCCATTTTGAACTCAGATGAAAGTTTTTGTAGCAAGGAGAATGTTGGTTTTCAATTGCTCGCGCAATAAACTGTACAGATATAAAGTTAAAATAACACAGGCAAGCATTTTAGATTTCTCGTTTCTCCCTTCCCTGTCGTTTCTCGGTATCTTACACGTGACAACTTCGCGTTTGCTGTATTTCCAGTTGTAAATAAAGTTTTGCCCTTGTTGTGTTATTAAAAATCTATATACATTTTACATGATTGAACTTCGTAGTGTACTTTGCATGCAGTTAACATCGAAATATATTTCTCGGTTTTTATTTGACACCGGCCCGGGTAAAATATGTTATCCGTGTCCGGTATCTCACTTGCTAGCAAGAGTCCGGAAATTTTACATCCTTGCCTTGCTATTAAGCCAAAGTTTGAGAGAAATTCTTGCAAGAAAGTGAATATGGAGCGTTTTCTTGGCCGGGCAAATTTACCTATTCTGTTTTCAATCACTAACTGCGGTCCTTATCTGTAAGACTCACAGCTTTCCAAGAACCGTTTTCTAATCATAATAAACCACGTCAGGTTCCGGTTTTTCAATTTACCTTCCACTAGTCCAAAAATCTTTGTTAGAAGAAGAAGCCCTTTCCTTTTATATCCCACCCCTTTTAGAAATATTTGCTACCGTCCGGACCCGGTTTCATAGTATTCTGCAGGACCTCACCGGATCTCAAAGAACCATGATTGATATTCATGTACATTTTTGATTAACTAACCATGTATTTGAATGATATCATTTTTCATGATAAAGTTATGTTATGGGTATTATGGCTATTTATGCAGTTGTATTTCTTTTTAAATCCCGTTCAACCAGGTACGCCGGAACGACCAAAGGTCAAACGCCGGAACGTTCAGCTTCCGCAACTTCCACAAGTTCTTTTTTAAAGGCAATCTGTCACGACGTTGATTGATTATAAGAAAAAGGGATTTTTTATTGTTTCCAGTCCCCCTTTAATTTATCGCATTGTAAAAAATATGGCGGAGCGCTGGAATCGTGTTTAGGCTATTGTTCCAGCTATTGTTCTCGCTAACCAATCCACAACGAGACAAATTGCCTTTAAGTTTCATTTTATTTTGATTTTCTGTAGGCATCTTGTAAATGGGATAACTGCTGTTATGTTATAAGAAATGTTTTCAACAAACTTTGAGAAATTTCGTCATGAATGAAACACTGCAGTCAGTGTCTAGTATGAATCTTTTTGATACGAAAGCATTTTCACTGAAAAAGCACTTTGGCCCTTCTTGCGCCTCCTATCAAAGGGCAAAGAGGGGCCATTGACCCCCGGTGCTCCTCTTTCAGTCGTCCCTGAATTCAACTTTAACTAGTTTCAATTCAGTGGCGTACCCAGGGCTGCAGCAGTGGGGAGAGAGGGGTCTGGGGCCTAGCCCCCAGAAATTATTTTGGGCCACGCCCTTTAAACACTCGCAAATGCAGGGAAACGCCCTTTTGCAAAATTTTCCCCAATTATTTGATTCATTTTCGCTACAGTAAATAGCAAAGTATTTTACCATTGTTATTGACACAAGCATACAGTATACTACACCCCCCCCCCCAATGAGTTTTACATCGTTTTTGGACTAATCTTGAGGATCATATTTTAGAAAAGTGGGGGGGTCCGGACCCCCTATTCCCCCCCTTGGGTACGCCACTGTTTCAATTCTATTTGGCAGTTGCCTTTGAAACTAAACACAAAAAAAATATCGAATAGCATGCTTGACTGAAGAGGGGACCAGGCAAAAGTACCCTTTTTGTAATAGGGTTATTTTGCCAAATGAATGTATCCACCCTATCATTATCTTCGATATAAACTAGTCCTTCAATGAGAATTGAGGCAAAGAGACAAATAAATAATGTTTCAAACGTCCATCTTCCGATCATACGATCTTTCCGCGATAAAAGGTTCTATAAATATAATGTTTCTCTACGGTTGTCCCGTAACGTTGACTCGTTCTCTTAATGTCAGGCACAGTCTTTCTCAAGCACTGTCCTCTCAAATATGTCAAATAATCCACAATAATCGTCACGCGCGATGTCTTAAATAGCTATACGTGTCCTATAAATCCATAATTTATGCCGACAAGATCTTTTACAAGCATCTTGCCACGTAAGTGAAACGTCGAGAACCTAAATATTCAAAATATCAAAACTTAACCTAATCGCTCTTAACCAAATTCCATTTCCAACTTCAACTCCAACTCAAAAACTAACTCTATATGTAACACGCCCAAAATATAACTAAACAAGAACTTATTGTAATGCTACATAGCTACGTAAATTTACATAATAATAGTGAATACAAAATATATTAGTCCCAAAATTAATTACATAAACTGAATAATGATACTAAAAATCCCAAAAAAATAGTTAATGAATCTAAAGGTGCAATTGGAAAACAAAAGGAATTATAAACAATCGAATGTGCGAACGGTGATAAAATTACTAAGGTTACAGGATGCAAAACAAACGAAATCCAAACTAGCACTATTACATTTTCATGAAAGTGCATTTGACTTCGACCCTGGTAAGTATAAATCCCGTTTGTATTTCATTAGGAATAATTAAAGGAGCCTTGAAAAATTTATCGAAATAAAATGTCTGCGAACTTTGAAGCTGTTTGAAGACTTTTTTAGTAGAAGTGTACATTACGTCTTCTTGTCAAGGATTCAAGGTCGTGCAGTAGCGGATTTAAGGGGGGGGGGGGCAACTAGGGACAGTTGCCCCTCGCTTGACGAGTTGAAGCAAGTCTGGCGCCCCTTTTTTGGAAACTGTGCGCCCCTTTTAAAGAATGAGAATCAGGTGAAAAAGTTTCTGAGACCCATAGGTTAATTTGCTTTGAGGATTACCTCAAAGTTTTGCTGTTTATTCTGAAAATGGATCTGAAATTGTTGTATACAGCGTACTCTCGTAACCAGATTTTGAAAATTTTCCAGTGCCTCCACTACCTCTCCTTCAAATTTGCTCTGGATCTGCCCCTGAGGTCGTGGTCCTTTATAAGAGCTAGTTAGGCTTTCACAAAAAATTCTCACAAAGAAAAGCCCACAAAATATCTCCGTAGAGAAGAATTCTGATACATTTCAACACTAGCAGGGGGGGGGCTGTTCCTAAGCCCCCAATCACAGCACCCTTGATTGGTTGCGTCATATTTGCAGAAAGAAAAACAGTTATTTTAATAGTGGTTCTAAGAGGAAGGGGACAGGAGGGGGCAACTCATACCCTTCTTGTTTGGAATGTTGGGTCATCAAAAGGCAGGGCCGTCACTTGCTACATGCCAATTGAATGAGAAATTCTATGCATACAAAAAAGGTAGAAAATTCGCCGACCAAGAACTTCTATTTTTTAAACGGATTTTTTTTCAGAGGGTGTTACGCCCCACACGCTTCCGCCAAAAAGTTGCGGCCTTGTTTAAAGTGACCGACCCCCCTATCAGGGAACTTGATATTGTGGTTAAATTTAAAATTATTTTGTCGCTATATGCACGCGAGTCTAAGGGTAGAGTGGAATTTCTTTGATTTGAACTGCCTACAAAACGATTTGTTTGTTCACAAAATTGATTTTCCGACTTGAAACGAGGTAACGAATACGTGTAAAATTCAACTGACCAATCAAAAGGCAATATTCAGATCACATGATACTGTTGTTCAAATCACCTTAGGGTGTTGTTGATGTTGCATTCATTGTTATTTCTTCCATGTTTTCGATTCATTTGGGCCTATAAAGGCAAAGACGACAAAATCTTAAATTTTTCTGGAACATAACAACGACTTATTGACTTCAAACGGGTCAAAAAGACAAGAATAACTTTAAAAGCTTCTGCTGACTCTCCTTGAACACTATTTAGAAATTTGAAGAAATTTCTGAGGTGAGAAAGTCCCACGTTGTCTTCAAAAATGGCGGATAATGGAAAGTTTAATCCCAAAAACCCCGATGCTTGGGGCATTGGAAATGTACAATATTTAATTGCGCCTGCTGTTGGCATGGTTCTCTTTGTAGGTAAGTTGAAACGGCACCATTGGCTGGACATTCTCCTCGATTAGCCGTTATTTAAATATCTTTTTCTTACTCAAAAGTCAAGAAATTTTTATGTTTGAAGGGAAAGACTTTGGAAGGAGTCCTCCTTTTTAGCATTTAATTTTAAAGCAGAATATAGATAGTCACTATTCATGTATTGCTGTTTCCTAAATATTTTTCCAAATTACAGTTTGTTGCCAGCAAATCTCTGCTTTACCAAAATTTTAGTTCAAAGGCCATCACAGCAAGAGAGAACAAAATACACGTCATTTATGTCAGAAAGTTTCATTTCACAACCCTCAAGCTCAGTTTTGACAGCCCTACATTAAATAGTCACCCATTAGCAACCCCTTTGGCTACAAGGGTTTACTGTGAACCTTTGGTCAGATTGACCAAAATTTAAGGCAACATGGAGGAACATGATTTGAAATTACATTCTAGGTAATTCATGTACTTTTCCCAGAGAAACATTTTAAATGATGGTTTTTATTTTGGCGTTTATTTCCAGACAGTTTTAGAAATGTGTCTCTGAAGTTCTTTTTGATGCTATTGTAAGGCAACTGAACAGGGACTTTGCCTTGATCAGTAATGACATGCCAAAAAACAACAGTTTTAATCAAAGAATTGTTTAGATTTTTGTGCTGCTATTGTGTAGACAGAAGAAGTTTGTTTCACCTAAGGACTCCATTGGTAACATCCTCAAAAGACAAGCGGCACTGATTGGGCAACCTCAACATAGTCATGTGATTGCGTTTCTGATTGGCCTATTTCGATCCTCAACTGAGGGTATATATTTCCTAGCATAAATTTTTTGATCTGTGTTCTGACATTTTATACTCTGATGAGTGTCAGACGAAAAGCATAAATATGATTCAAAATGTTTGCTTTTTTCGAAGACATTTTTAATTGTTTAGATTTTCCCAAAACCCAATGGAGAAAACCCAGTCAACAACTGTAGGTTAATTTGAAAAATTAGGCCATGTATGACTTGAATCCCAACTGATGCTTTGAGGAAGTCCATCAACTGAATTAACTGGCATGAAGAAAATCCATCAAACCATGCTAGCATGGAAACGGTCAACTTGATTAATAATCCTTTACAAAAATAGTTGAGATTTTTGAAGAAAGTTGATGTTTTCTTTTTTCTTTGAAAAATAACCTTGTCCTCTTCCCCTGACTAAATGTTGAGTGCATGATTTATAAAGAAATAATTGAACTACAAATCCAACATTAATTCGGGAGACAGGGGGATTCGAATCCACAAGGGCAACAGAAGGTAGCAGATTGTAGAAATTGCATTTTGTCTAAAGAAATTTGTCTGAAATTGTAGTTTTCCTTCAGTGGTTCTGAATGCTTCCTAATATAAAGACTCATGAATGGAAACAATTTAATCTTCTGTTTTTCTTGATTTACAAACTAACAAGTTTGTTAATTTCATTTTTCAGTTTACTTGGTCTACAAGCTTCTGAAGAGCTATGAAGACAAAAAGAAAGGAAAAGAGGAGAAGAAGAAATTAAAAGCTGAAAAGAAAAGAAGGTGAATGTATTCGTAGCATAATTAATTATCTTAACAGATATAAATTGATTGTTTTAAACTGTAATTTTAATCTATTTCATTGTAAGAAACAGTTAATGGCATTTGCTATTAAATTTATCTGTATAGAGGAGAGCTCCGGGTGAATTTCTCTGTTCTTTGTCCTCTGAAACATTCAGAAATCAATTTAAATTTTAATAACTGCTTTAAATCACTTGTAGGGTACAGTTTTAGCTGGTATTTCAAATATGGTTCATTAACAAAAGTTGATTAAAGAAATTTGTGCTAGGAGTCATAGTGGATTTTGGAACAAGGCTAGTGGGGTGAATCCATGCCAGTTTCCTGAAATTAGGTGGGAGGTTTGTAAAGACTGAGCCAGATATAGGTTACTGCGAAAAATATTTTTGGAGTATGGTTTTAACTGCAAGCCATGGCTCTCAGAGTTGCAAAAGCATAAGTCGGATTTTTACAACAACAAAATAAATTGGAAACTATCAAAACTTTAAATCAATTATTTCTTTGACAAATTGTTAGCAACCATTGTCCTAGATCTGCCGCCATTGATACTAACAACATGCAGAATACAGGGCATATATTTTGCTGACTGTCTTTCGGCCTCTGCACAGAATAATTGAGAGGCAATTCTAGGCACTTATCTGGTCCGTGTTTTCTGAATCCAGAAACTTGTTTGTCCCTCCAGAGCCAATCACCGCTTGTTTGACCTCTGCAAACGTCTTGTGAGCCAATCAGAGTGTATTTCACCTCTGCAATTTTTGGTGCAAGCATAGGTGAGATTTGATTTATCAAAACAGAAGTTGAACTTGCCTCTGCAGCGGGACAGCCAACCAATAGAATCAGAGTTGACCTATGCAATTGTTTACAGTGGACCACTGCAATTGTTTTTGCAACCAATGAAATAGAAATTTAGAATCACTGCTTCACCCCTGCTAAGGAAACTCTAGCTAAGTCAGTCAACCTTGCAGTGTCTGTTCTGTAGTGTTGTGGTATGACCACTGTGCTCAGAACATGGGTGGCCCTGGTTTGAATACTTCTGGGGTCGGCTAATTTAGAGGTTTCTTCTTTCGAATTGCAGGTAAATTTAGTCTTCTCTTTGTGAGTCGTTACCTTAGAATACCTTTTTGAAACCCCCTATTTAATATCAGTGATACTGATTAATTTTGAAAAATCTGGGCGTTTCCAACGCAAAAGGACGTGGCTTCTCTATCTGACAACTTTTGTATAGGTCAGAATTCAGGCTGGAACCGTGCCTGACAGCATTTTGAGCAACAGACAGGGTGGCCAGAGGAGCATTAGGGTGGGGGTGTAAAGCCCCAAGAAAAGGGGCAAACAATAGCAAAATAAAGGAAATTGCTAAATTTTGGTAGGGCAGGGTCGCAACCCCTATTCTCTACATGCTCTTGAATCCATTGCAATAGTTAGGTTATTTCTTTTTCAATAATTATTAAACTATTTCGACAAAAACTTTTTTAGAAAATGTTGAAGCAATTCAAAATATGCTGCAAAATTATTGTAGCTGCAAAATTAAAATGAGTTTTGATGCAGAAAAATCCGTTGTGTGAAACAAAAGTGTGTGTGATTGATTCCCTTGTTTAACCAAACAAGAGACACTGTCCTATCACTATGTTTAAAGCCCTAAACAATTAAGTAACCCTCTCCCCCTGGTTACACGTACCAGGGTTTACATTTTAATGTCGGGTGGAGTAAATTTCCTGAAAAGAATTAAGTCCGACTTGACTAGTCATACAAAGATCTATATAGCTATGCTTCTATAAACTGTACCCCCTTAATAGCAAGATTTTGACAAGATTTTGCCAGGACTTTTAAAGATAAACCGGGGGCTGCATCTGGACTATAGCAAAGAGAAGCCATCGACTGGAAAATTTTATTAAAATTATAAATACCATCTTACTGAAAATTTCAGTGTTTATGGTCCTTTCTAGCCCCCTTAGAGTCATGGATTTTAATTGCGTGACGTAAATATTGTCAAGCGAGGCTCGATTGATTGATTAGCGGCCTCTCTTTGAGATTTTCTTACAGGTGTCAAATATGTTGGAATCTTTCAAATATTCGTGAAGCTTCCATGACAGCACATCGTTCTTAAGTGAGAGATTACTTGATAAAATCATGTTTAGAATCCCCTTTCACCCCATTAACAAAGTTTTGGATGGTGTACTTTGCTTTAAAGAGAGGCTAAATAGACAGGGCGGACTGTTGACTTCTCCGCCAGAAAGCTGCGTTCTAGCGCAGTTCCCTGTGGATATATTAGGATGCCATGGTAACGTAATTTGTCACGGGTGGATGACAAACGAGTTCGGTCAAAAGATCGGAATTTTATAAGGATCACCCGTAGTTGTCTTCATGCATAATTTATGCCTTTGGAATCCCTTGCGACTTCTATTGTTCGAAAACCTTCCGAAATAATTCCGATACTATTTGAAATCAACTATAAGTTTAGTATTTTATATAATATCGGATTAATTGCTACTTCGTGTGCCTGGTTTTATGGCCTTTGGATATCGAGATGTAATGGAGAGTTTTTGAGCCTGTTTTAAAGATGGAATTCGTACACGAGAGCCCTGGTGGGTGAAAAAGTGGACACAAAAATTTGAAAATGGGTCCAAGGCGAAAATGGCTATGTTTTGTAATTCATACTCTATTGGTGTGCTTCATTCTCCAGAGGAAATGCGGTATGTTTACACCGGTTTTAATTTATGTCTCAAAATCTAAATGCGTTAATTGATAAGCATTTTTGTGATATTTGATCAAAATATTTATGCCCGTAGCTGTAAAATAATAGGCCTTGATAATGACCATTTTTTTAATGGTTTATCGTTGATATTGTTTTATTAACCTAATTTTCGGCTTCATAGACACTTAGCTTCGATCACTTGGGAATTTTGTTTGTGCCAAGTCAACAGATAAAACTGGTCCTTTGAGAGTTCAATGGGCTTTTAACTAACTGTTCACGATGATTTACTGTGATTCTCGGTCTCCTGGGGTCACTCTTCGGAAATGGACTTTAACTCGCCGCAATATTACTTGAAGCTCGATTTATATCGCAAAAAACAAGGCTAGAAATATCAAACAAGCTAATACGACTACCAAAATCTGTTTTAAAAAACCCTATGTCGATGAAATTATTGATGTTCTTAATTTTTATTTATTTGTTTACACAAACTCTTCACACATGAATATCTATGTTTTGATAATGGAGATTAAGTGCTGATAAGATCCCTACCGGTTACTTTTGGTGATATACCGGCTCTCCGGGATTTTCCTTCGGTCTCCACGAGGCTCTCGAATATCTCATTGACATTGCCGAAAGATTAGAAGCCTACTCCTTAAGATACTAAGAATAACATAAAATACACTTTGAATTGTTACAATACTTAGTTTCTAGAAATACAGGTTAGGTATTTCTTAGTCAGACATTCGTGTAAACAATAAAGGAGCTAGAAACCAACCCTGCAGCACTACATCCCTATCCCCCCTTAATTCTTAATGTCTTCATACTAAGATTATTTAATGAAAACTTCCCCTTTTTTTAAGCTCTTGCTGTTCCTGGCGATTCAGTGGATCTGTCAAATATGGAAGGTACACAATTTCATTTTTTTATTATTTTCATTGTGGGGCTGGTAGAATTCAATTCTCTTTTATTTTTTATATTGTGTAGTTTTTATTGATAGATAAATATGTCTATCAAGTTATTGTTACAGCTACTCGAGTTTTGTCTTATTTATACCAGGGATGTCGAAAGTTGTGACTTATTGTTGAGACAAAATCTTGGTTTAAATTGTGGCCAAAATGAAGCTATACTATTGTTGATGCCAAGGTTAACCTTTGAGAAAATACAAATGCGCTGACCTTTGGCTTTAAGAAATAGATTAACGATGGAGTAAAATTAGAATGGATTATAATAATGAACGTTAGTGGCTGGTAATATGACGTTAAACTCCTATTCCTTGAAGTTTAGTTGTTATATACCGTAAACCCTCGAATTTGCCCCCCCCCTCGAATAAGCCCGCACCCTAGAACTACAAATTGTCAATAAGCCCCCCCCCCTCGAATAAGCCCTCACTGCTACCGTAAATTCTCAAATTGGACCCCTCAATTTGATGATTTTTGCCATCCGAGGTTGCCTATGGCGTTTTATTGAATTACCACAACAAATTCATACTTTTGGTAGTAATTAATTAAATGCTCATAAAGAAATTCCTACTAAAATAAACGAGGTCTTTTAATAATGTCTTATTGATGTCTACAATAATTTATTAAGCCCCCCCCTCCCCTCGAAAAAGCCCCCATCCAAAAATATAAGAAATATATAAGCCCCGAGGGGTCTAATTCGAGGATTTACGGTAGTTGAGAATCATTAAACCCTATTAAGAGCGTTGAAGGGAGGGATGGAAGTTGCTCCCTAGCATTCTTCTATCAGATTCACCCGGGCTGACTTTTGAGAGTTTTTCAGAGTTTTGTTCAGAGAGTTACGAGAAAGGAATCGAATTCAGAATACACTCATTTTTTTATAAGAAACTGGCTACAAGAAACGAGTACTGGACAGTCAGAAAAAATTAAGAAACTTAAGTACTCGAAGCAAAAAGATTCAGAAACTATTAAATCGTGATAAAACTGAGAACAACGAAATTTTGTAAAATCCAAGAACAAGATTGCCCTGTTGGCCTAGAACTAAAAACAGGAGGGATAAAAGTATACTTCCCACATCTAAATACAGCATCGGTACGGAAGCGAATCTCTTGACGTGATAAAAAAGGTCACGAACATTTCATAACATCATTCATGACATCATAATTAAGAAACTCTTAAGAAACAATGAGTATTAAAATTTCCAGAACATTAAGAAACTGGAGTACTCAACATCGACCTTTGTTTCTTATAAAAAAATGAGTGTATTGCAACGACGTTGATTATTTTTTCATCAACTCGACGCGGAGATAAGCGAGTTTTCAAAGCCCAGAGTATTCTCATCTTTTCCTAGATAATGCCCTACAGCCCTTAAATGTTTGTTTAATGTCTAATAGTATTTTCGTTTTTGTTTTAGAGAATCCGGGCTCGGTAACAAACTCCGGACTGACCGAATCGCAGAAAAACTCATTACTACAGTTACACAACGCATTCCGGTCAATTGTGAAACCGACCGCGAGTAATATGATCCGCATGACCTGGGACTCGGAACTCGAAAAAATCGCTTCGGACTTTGCGGCAAAATGCATCGTAGCGCATAACCCGGATCGACACAAGCAGGCGAAACATTACGATTGGGTTGGCGAAAATATCGCCTGGGGTACGGGATTATGTGGCGATAAAGAGTGTGGGGATGTTTTCGAGGGCGTAAAACGCTGGTTCAGTGAAAGCAAGAACTATAATTTCATAACGGGACAATGTTCCGGGAAATGTACATTGTATACACAAATGGCTTGGTGGGAATCGAATAAATTAGGATGCGGAGCGAAACGTTGTGGTGATCGGTCAATCCTGGTTTGCAATTATGCACCCGGGGGGAACTACGTTGGGCAAAAGCCGTACAGACAAGGCAAGCCTTGCAGTGACTGTCCTAAAGGATCTATATGCGATAATAATTTGTGCGTTCCCCCTGATCAGCAGGGGAATTGCCGGCATTGTGTAAACAAGGGGTCCAATCATAATAGGCAGGAGACACCCGATTTTAGCAGCACTCAGATGTCAGAAGAAGAGGCCCCCCTGCCAACACCAACTCCAACGAGTAAGTTTCATGTCTTTTGGCCTTGATACCGGGGGTGTTGACTGGCAGTAGTTGTTACAGTTATAATCAGTGTTAGTTTGTCTCATAAGAGCTGAGAAAGTAAATAGAAACTTATAAGCCCTAGGATTTCCATCTGAAGGCAGATGTTTGTGATTTTAACACATTAAGTCAGGTTAATAAGCCTACTTTGCAGGGTCTCCTACGCTTTCAGTGTGATCCAGTTGTTCACGTGATTTTAGCGCTCATTTTCAAAGACTTGCCGTAGACAAATCATGTTTTCCAGATCAGTACGATGCAACTTCATTATGTGATCAGTTTCAGACCCACCAATAGCATTGCAGTTGTTCATGTGATTTTAGCGCTCATTTTCAAAGACTTGCCGTAAACAAATCATGTTTTCCAGATCACTATGATGCAACTTCATGTGTTGGGTACCAAATCCACCAATAGCATTGCAGTTGTTCACGTGATTTTAGCGCTCATTTTCAAAAACTTGCTGTAGACAAATCATGTTTTCCAGATCAGTACGATGCAACTTCATTATGTGATCAGTTTCAGACCCACCAATAGCATTGCAGTTGTTCACATGATTTTAGCGCTCATTTTCAAAGACTTGCCGTAGACAAATCATATTTTCCAGATCAGTACGATGCAACTTCATTATGTGATCAGTTTCAGACCCACCAATAGCATTGCAGTTGTTCACATGATTTTAGCGCTCATTTTCAAAAACTTGCCGTAGACAAATCATGTTTTTCAGATCAGTACGATGCAACTTCATTATGTGATCAGTTTCAGACCCACCAATAGCATTGCAGTTGTTCACATGATTTTAGCGCTCATTTTCAAAAACTTGCCGTAGACAAATCATGTTTTCCAGATCAGTACAATGCAACTTCATGTGATCAGTTCCAGATCCACCAATAGCATTGCAGAAGGAATATCGTTAGTCAGCGCATTTGCGTTTAGCCCCTTCTTTTATTACGACTCAATGCATTTAAGCCCCCCCCCCTTTATTCAGTATGATGGGTCGTAACGGTAGAGCATTGAAAAATGGAATTCAACTTTCTTCTGCATTCAAGTCATCCCTTTTTATAGTCCCCAACTATCGATTTATGTGTAAGAAGGAAGAACCGCAGGATAGGCTGTCCGCCGGATTCTGTGAATCTTGCAATGAGTGTTGTTATGAAAGATATACAGGAACAAAGCAATACGATGACGAGAATCCAATGTCACGAAATAAAATTTTCAAAATAAATTAAATTTAAGGAATATACTAATATTTCAGAGTAATCATCAGAGTAAATGAAGCCCTGTATGCCGGGGCGAAATATTAGTATATTCCTTAAATTTAATTCATTTTGAAAATTTTATCTCGTGACATTGGATTCTCGTCGCCGTATTGCTTTGTTCCTGTATATCTATCGATTTATGCACTCCTGATTATAATTGACAGGTCACATGATTACATTTTACTATTTGATTGGTCCTGTTACATCAAGAATTAGTCCCTTAGGGATCTGTTTCTCATTGACGGCTTTTTTTAAGGAATATCGGTACATTTGTAATATAAGTTATTTCAATGTTCCGCAGAGAACCCTTTGCTCCCGGACGGATGGCAAGAGCTTCCGGTTCATTTAATCCAGATTGACTCGGGTATGACCGGATTCACGTGGGGTCTCAATGCAAGGAATACTCCATTTCTGTTGGAATTGGATAACATGCTAACCCGGATCAATGGAACGCTGCATCACGTGTCTGCCGGCCAATCAGGTGTCTGGGGAATTGGTCTTCTTGGAAATATATTTCTAAGAACTGGAATCACGGAAGAAAATCCAAGAGGTGCGGTATAATAACATTTATTTAAAGTTGTATTCTTGTCTAGCTATCGCTAGTTAACATAAACTAAAACTTTGAATAAATTTGTTTAATCCCATTCTTAAAATGGAATTCGCTGCTAAATGAGTACCCCTAGACCTCTAGGCGCTAAGGCAGTCTGCCCCCTTGTCCCCCTCGGTGTCCCTGACTACAGATGCGCTCAATGTTACATCACATTAAAACTAGACCTAATTTAACGCTCTTTGTAGCTGTGTAGCCCTTTATTGACGCAATTTTGATCAATCTTATCATTAAGTTGAGATTGGAAAGAAATGTCCAAATGTGTCACAAGTTAAGAATATCTTGACCACACCCGTTACCAAATAAGGAGCCAACTGGTTACCCCCGTTTAAAAATTTCTAAATGAATGATCAGAAATTATTATGAAGAAAGTCATGAAAAGGAAACGCTTTTCATGGAAGGATTATGTGACAAAATGGCTCACCAGAAACGGAATAAAAACTGTTTTGGTACAGTTACATGTTCCCCAAGCAGGGGCAGAGACGTTTATTCCGGATATGAGAATAACCACATAGCTATATTTAATACCATGTTCTTTGTTTTTAGGCTTACTGTGGGAAAGGGTACGGGGTAACCTGAAACAAATTGATTCTGGCCCAGCTGGAGTTGTCTGGGGCGTCAATAGATTCGATCGAGTGTTCTGTCGAATTGGAATCAGGTATGCAGAATCATTCCGTCATAATTATAATAAATTAATAGCATAATTAAAGATATGTATTTTCAAATTTCGAACACGCAGTCTGAAAAACGAGCATTTAATATCTCAGAGTGCGTGAAATTCGTTAATGTGTTATAAATTAACTGAGATAAGGCCAGAAGAGTAGTTGAGAAAAGGCTCGAAACCAAGAATCACTGTACTTTGTTCTTAGTTTTGAATTTTATGAGCCAGGCAAAAAAAACAGCAATCTATAACACATCACAGTTCTTTTATTTCCCAAATCTCAGGAAATCTGCGAGAATTTGCAATAGACTGATTTTTAACTTTTGTATTGGGTGTATTCCATTGTGTGTCGTTAGATTTTGGTTTAAAAAGTTATAAATTTCAAAAAGCTATTTTCTTTGAAGTTCTCTTTTATATTCTCTATTTTCTCGTATTTATGCTCATTTGCTTCAGGCCTGTTGATTTCTCAAGTTGGAAATTTTGTTGTTGTCCATCTTTTAAGAACTGCACCCTTGACAAACCTTTAGCATAAACCTCCCTATACAGAATTTATTTTGAACTTACACTGCTTATGACGTCAATCTTCCATTTTAGTGCCCAGGCCCCTGCTGGTACAGGCTGGCGCTTAATCCCTGGCAATTTGAAATACGTTTCATGTGGTGAATATGGTTGCTGGGGTGTTGATAAACAGGGGACAATATACTTCCGCAAGGGTGTCGCCCCTAGCACCCCTGAGGGAGCTGAATGGAAAACAATTCCCGGGAGCTTGAGGATGATCGAGACTGGCCCTCATGGTGGGTTAATTATTAAATTTTCATCATCTTTAATATTCTTAGCTTTCAAATCTCCTAGCAAATTTTGCTTCATTTGATAGTGCCTGCTTCACACACCAATACACCAACCAAACTTACGACCTTGTTTACGAAAATGCTCCAAGTTTCCTTAACAAATTCTTTATTTAAATTTTTCATTTTCTGTTTCACTTTTCTTCTTTTTCTTGCTTTCCTACTTCCTTCTTTATATCCATTATTTTTCTCTGACTTTTTCTTTCTTGATGTCCTTTTTAGTGACGGCGATTTTCCTCGATATTCTAAGCTTAAACATTGTCTTTCACGTTTTGTCCCGTTCATTCTAGCCTACTTCACAGGCAAATATTCAAAGTCAACTTATGACTTCGTTTTGAAAAATGAATTATTTATTAATTTCTCAAATTCTCAATTTAATTTTATCGTTTTTACCCTTTCCTCAATTTTCCCTTATTTTCACTTTCTTCGTTTTTACTCCTTTCTTTTCCTCATTCTTTCTTCGATTTTTATTTCCTGATTTCCTTCTTGGTAACTGCCTTTTTCACTCTCTTAACTATTTTTCCTCTTTCGTATTCTTTGTCTTTCATTACCCGTCTCTTTCTCCAATTCTTAAGTTCCATTTTTCATTTGTTCTCATGCTCATTATTATAAAAAAATTAACACTTAACAACATAAATTTTCGATACAAATGTTTAAAATTAGCACAATCTTAATTCGCTGAGTAATGCGTTTTACATAGGCCAAAAAACATCTGAAATCGCTCGTTCGACTATGTGTTATGGTAGTCTGTTCCAATTTGCTATTACATAATAAAAGAATCAATTTTTAAACAAAATCGACCCGAACAAAATTTGACATAATTTTTCATCCCCCTGTTTTCATCTACTTTTTACTTTCTTCTTTATTTCCTCTTCTTTCTTTTCTTTCTTTTTTCTCTCCCTCCCAATTTTATGATATTTTATTATATTTTATGTATTTTTTCTACTTTCATTAATACTTTCATTAATACGTGAATACTTTGTATTCTTTAAAATAATTGTACAAGCTTTTTTTGTTGGTAATTTCTCTGCCAGTTTCAAGCTGTCTTTTTAACCTGTATTCACATTTATATCCGGTCTTTTAGGAGTGACTGTTGGTGTCCGGGAATCGCCAGAAGGAATCCAAGATGTCCTGTATCGAACCGGAGTCACGCAGGAGAAACCGGAGGGTCTCCAGTGGATGAAACTACCAGTGAAGCTATCTCATGTGACTGTCGGAAACCGTGGAATCATGGGAATTATGCATAATGGCGCGGTCGTGGTTCACAAAGGTGCGCTTTGCAATTGATATACTTTTCAAATTTCTTTTCTCTATTTATAAGATCATCAACAAGTAAAGAAACATTTGGTGCTATAAGAATCATGACATTATAGGATTTATGCCATTTCTATCTGAATTGAGAGGTTTCTCTGCATTAGTGTTAATGTAATACTTTTCTCAGATGCATATAAGCATTTTAATTACAACTTAGATTCACTAAATACTCTCAAATTTTTTGACTGGTTCAAATAATTTCAAAGTGTGTCAAAGTGTGATAAGATATCGCATTGTACTGAAATATCATCGATACATTTTATTGACAGACTTATCTGATATAGCGTAAGCTATTCAAGAAAAGTTAAGGGCAACGGGAATGGGTGTGGTTGCTGGTTTATGTAAATCTATCTAGCTGTCTTTCAAGCAATTGTACAGTCTTTGTTGTTAATTGCTTCTGAATTCTAGTAGCGCTTGTTCAAAGCCTCTGATACAGTTTCAAAAATGGTGGGGGCAGGGGCTAATGGCTCATATGACATTATAAAATAATTTTACCAAGGGGGCATATGCCTGTCAGACACGCTAGACCTTTTTGCTGAAAAACGATGTTTAGTTTGTGACATCAAGGGTAATGTTGGCAGACTACCATAAGAGTCTGCCAACTTTTCAGGCACTGTGTTTAAATCTTACGTGTATTTTAGTTCAAATTACAGTTAAACTATATACAAAATAAAAAAGCGTGTGATACAAGAGTAAATGAACAATTCTGCCAAAACAAAATAGATTTTTTTAAAAGGTCTTTAGAGCTTCCTAATGTGGACGCCTGCTTGATTTTCCAACTTATGTAAGTCAATAAGTAAATACAACCTATTACATATATGTTATATTCCTGTTAATAATAATAACATGTAAAAATAACATGTAAATAAACCTATGCTTATTATTATTATGATGTTTTGAAAATTCATTTTTAGAACTGCGTGTAACTGATGACGCAGTGCCAACTATCCAGCCTGAAATGGAGATTGGAACAACAGCGGTGCCACTGGAAAGAAATAACATGGCCGTCACTGGCAACCCGTCATCTCCCGCGGGTGGCACGCGCACATTCCCGTCAACAACTCCAAGCACCCACACAGCACCGCTTGTCTCGGCAAGTAACAACGGGGAAGGAAGTGTTAACAAACATGTTAGCTATGGGGACGAAAAAACACAAGAAAAGGATCCATTAAAACTCAGCCCTGAGATGGCTAATAAGATTTTACACATGATTCAAGAAAAAAGCAACCAATTTGAAATGACCCACAAAGCTGCTGCGCAGAAGATGCAAAGGAATGTCAGTCTTGCTGCTGCGCAGAATCAGCACTCAGGCTCATTGCAAGAGAAGCTCATCTCCCCGCAAGCTCCACAACCCCCCTCGAATATGAAAAACGCAACTGGTGCCCAGGCTCCTGTTGTTCCTCCTCCTGCACAGCCACCTGTTGCTGCGAATCAGCAACCACAGTCGGCAGTGACGCCACAGCAGAATACGTTGGATCAAAATAAGGGAAAGGCGGTAAGTTGGCACCTGTAACCCCCCTATAAACTGTTCTCAACCCTGAAACTATTGCTAGACTTTCAATTTTGCAGGGGGTATTGCTCTTGCATCTTCAACAATTCAAAGCAAGTATCATTAAAGATACAAACTGAGCTTTTCTAAAAGTTCGTTTTGAAATGTAATAATTATAAAAAATAATTTGTTTACAGTTGGCGTACTAGATGAAAGTCCAATAACTATAAAGAAGCTAATTAAGGCCAACTATCTATAAAGAATTAATATAAAATGAATATATGGTACAATGCTAAAAAATGTTTAAGGTATAATATTCTAAATAAAACCTAACCCAGCAATGAAAATCTTGCATGATCTTCACTCGCATTCTACAGAGTGTGCCCTTAATTCTTTTTTTAAATTATGCTAATGATTGAAATCATCCAGCCTTGATATAAATTTCTTAATTTTTTATTGTTTTAGAACACTCAAAATGCGACGCCTAACCCCACATCTGGACAAGCATTTCAAGACGCTTTACAGAAACTGACAAAAGCAACTAGCGCAAGTGCAAAGACACCCCAGCCAGCAAATAAAACTGCAACAGACCCCCAGGCAGCTAAACCAGCTGAAACCCCATCGCAAAAGTTACCATCAGTAGACACCGCCCAACATGCATCAACGGCTGCGCAGTCTCCACATGCCACTGCGCTGCAGCCTCCAAACTCTAATCCGCCAATCAACGCGCAGCAACCAGTAAATGCAGTAAACAAACCAAGCGATCCTGCGCAGCAGCCTAAAGTGCCTGCAGAAACACCTCGTAATCAACCAGTCCAGCCACAAACTGCTGTGAATGAGCAACATCAACAACCTCAACCAGTTATACATGCTAACCAACCAATAAATGAACCAACTAAATTGCAGCCTCAGCTTGACTCAAAAGCGCAGTCAGCACAAGAAGGAGGCCAGAAAAACGTTGCTATGAAAGCACCTGCGCAGCCAACTCCGTTGAAACCAACCATTTTAGCGCCTGTGCAGAGCCGACCCCACACGCAACCACAAGCGAAGGAGCAAAGACCCATCAATCAACATTTCTCTGCCCCCATTACAAGACCATCTACCCATCGACTTCCAACTCGAAGACCAACTTTGGCAGTAACACAGAAATCAAACAAGTTCAATAACCAATTGTTGACAGCTACGAGGCCTGAAAATATGCACCATGTATTTGTGCCAACTGGGACAGCTTATAAACCAACACCTCCAACTATTTCGAAGAACAAGCATCCGAATATGGAACTCTTCCCAACAAAAACAAAATATCGAGATGAAGAGTAAGTCTTTTTCCCATTTTCTTCCTTTGTCCTTTGATCATTCTTCTATTTTCCAGTTTCTCTGAAAAGTGTTCAGCTGTAGAATCCATTGTCTATCCGTAATCACGTCCTCAATTATATTTCTGTCAATCTGACCTTGCGTTGCTATGTATTCAAAATAACATAATCCTACCACAACGTCTTTTGTTCTGTATACGTTTGGGGACGAAAGAAAAAAAATCTTCTTAAGTAGGAAGCAACCCTCCGTCTGGAGTCAAAGTGCTTGCGTAGTAATGGTAAAGTCTCATTCGCATGCTTATTGCATCCAAGACGGGGGTGCCTCGCTCATTGAAATCTTTCTCATGTTCGTCTACCTAACAAATAGGACTATTTTAGTATTAGTGATCTTAGTCAGTAAATACGTTAAGATGAAATGGTCTTGCTAGCTTTGTGTTCTTTGCATGTTAGGTAAAATCATAACAATGACTCCATTTAAAAACGTACTTCACAGCATCAAGTTCTACACAATATTACATCAGCAACATAACAAATTTCTAATCAACCTCACTTTAGCAAATAAGTAAAAGCCTTTCTATACTTTTTTAAATTTCTATACTATGCAATATTTTTATGAAATAATGAAATGTTTTGCTTGAATACTCCTGCAACGAAATTATCCAGAAATTTCACCTAGTCATTGCCCTTTTAAACAAAGATAATTTCAGGCTGGCAAAAAACGACTCCTATGTAGAAGTCCTAGTTGCACTTTTTTCTTTATTATGAAAATCGTTTTAAAGATTATTCAGGCTCAGAATCATTCATTTTATTCGAGAGCCGGAAATATTCCACTAAAACCATATCATATTTGATAAAATACGAATACATTGAGAATATATCCAGTCTCAAGCAAAATTTTCTTTATTGTATCAATGTTGGAAAATTTTGTAGTATTTTATCAAATTTTGTAAAATTTTATCAAAGAAAGAGTTTATTACGATTAAATGTTTCATGAATGCTTCATCTGTTTTTTCTTTCTTGTGAGGTCATTTTCGCAATCGTCTGAACTTGACTAATTGAGACTATTTTAATTAAAGCTTTTTCACCTGCAAGTTCGTTAATCTTCTAGTTACGATATCGGCTTGATTGGCAGAAAGCATCTTAACGAAATTTCCAGTGGCGTCAAAGTGCGACCGACGACCAGATTAACGCCGAAACCCATCCACACTGCTCCGGTGACGAATGTAAGTTCAACAAATATTAATTTGTGTACCTCCTTCTTCATTAATAAAAGAGGAATAATTCTTTAATACCATTGGACTGAACGCAATTTACGATAAGCTTAAGATTATAAAAGCTAATTATTTGAAGCAAAATAATTTCTTGAAGAAACATTCATCTAAAAGTATCAGAGCGTTGGACTAGAACTTCTCTAATCAAGTTTGATGTCGAGGGATGCAAATGTCGAGGGATGTTTGTTGCTTAAAACTAATAGTGTATGATTGTACCCAATATATCGTACCTGGGTGACTAAGATTTTACTTAGTGGGACTAGTTGTTATTTCCAATGGACTTTTCTACCTTATTCGTGACAAAAGTCGTAAGCTTGTAAAACTCCGACTTTCACTATCACAAACGACTTCCTTGCCCTCTTTGGATGTCCGACTGAGCAGGACTCCGGGACTGAACAGGACTCAACCCGGGTTGAAAACTCTCTCAATTAAACGGCAGAAATTTCAGTCCGAGGTGTGATGAAATAAAGATGAAACCACATGCTAAAACCTCAGCCCATGTTGAACTCAGCACGGGCTGAAATTTCTCCTGTGAACAGTCTCAAATTCAATGAAGCTCATACTTCATTTCAACATATCTTTTTATTGTAGGCCGTCACAGTTTCATACGAGCTCACAAGGTCATGCTGCGCAATTCCTGACAGCGTTTGCCCCATACCACGTGACTGTACAGGGTACATCGAATGCAAGGGGTACAATGGTTTCTACAGAGTATGCGAACGGGGCAAGATGTTTCACCCCTTCAAGAATATTTGTGACTACCCCAGAAATGTCGATTGTGAAACAATAAAAGGTTTGTTTCTTTTTACAGTAATGATAATGGAACAGCGAAACTCGAGATTCTCAGGTTGTGGAGCAAAACTGAAAGACGAGACCCTATGCGAGGGGAGCCCCCTTGGCTAAACACCCCTACTTGAATGTGACCAACCGAGTAATTCAACGCCTGTCTATTTCGACCCTCCCAAGGGGTGCATAGGGTGGAAGCAACCCTAATTTTTCCAGTTCAGCCCATAAATATTGCTTCAATAACATTGAGATGATGTCACGTATTTTATATCAAGACATTCAATTCATTTCAATTCAGTTCATTTCAATAATTCAGTTCATTTCAACTCATTTCAATTCAGTTCATTTCAATTCAGTTCATTTCAATTCATTTCAATTCAGTTCAATTCAGTTCATTTCATTTCAATTCAATGTTTAATTCAATTTGACATCATCTTTACACGAGTGAATCCTTTATGCTTGATAAAAAATACAACTTAATATATTAAACTCCCGATAACTGGAGTCTCCGATAACTCAACATTGGCTAAGTCGAATAAATATAGATTTCCCTTGCCCAATAAATTCATATAAAAATTCCCACTGATAAACATTCGCTTTGTCGAAACATTTCATTAGTCCATTGGAGGTTCATGTTATCGGGAGTTGACTTTAATCAACATTTTTCATTGTTTTTGTAATTAACTAATTCATTCGTTGTTTTAAAGTTGGTGGTACTTTAGTCAATTCGATGGAAAATCAGAATACCGATTTTGCTCTTCGAAGCGAGCCGACAAAACCATTGGCAGCCCAAGGTAATAAATATGTTTTCATTTTTGCCTGCATTTGGTTTTAGTACGAAAAGGGGTGCTGGAGGGGGAGGTCATGAGCGAAGAAGGGGGAAATGATGAATGAGAAGATAGATGGGTGGTGCATGAACTGGGGTGAGTGACTGGGGGGAGATTTGTGGTGCACGGGTGGGAGTAACTAAATTTGGGGTGGTGCATTAGCGGATGAGGGGTGTATGAGCTCGAGAAGTGGGTGGTGCATGAAGGGGGTAGATTGGTTGTGCATGAACTGGGGTGCCATACTTGGGGGAGATTTGTGGTGCATGAATTTGAGTAAATATATTGGAGGGTGATACATGTGTGTGAAAGGTTGGTGGTGCATGAACGTTTTAATTCAGATAGGGTTTTTCAATGTTAGAAAAATTTAGCATACCTTTTTAAGAGCTGTTTCTTGTAAAAAAGTACTTGTATATATTTTTTGTTTCAATTTCGCAGCTCCTGCTGAAAAACAGTTGCCCCCCGGTTCCGACTTCATGGATCTTGAAGTACAATCGCCACAGAGAAGCTCGGTACAAAGTTCGGATGCAAATGTGGAAGTTCCGGAGCCGAGGATAACCGCACCGGAAGGAGGTTTGTCAGCCAGGGTTTCCAAATTAATGATGTGGTGTCGAGTGACCCCAGCAATTGTAAACGGGAAAAAGTATAATTTTGAAGCATATTTGACGTTTCGGAAAAGGAAATTGGAAGTTTTTCCAATTAGGATAGGAAATTATTGTCTTCGGAGCATTGCCTAGTCAGTTCCTCGTTCCTTTACAAAAAACATATTATTTCATTTTTTTATGTATCACTCATAGAGGATTGTTTGCAGCAGACAGTGTTTGAAAGGCAGGGGTGGATCTAGACAAAACTCGAAGGAGGGGCGGCAGTTGGTAGTGGGGGCGCTAAAAAATTTTCAGAAATTTGTGATGAGAGTACACTCTATACAAGATTTTCAGACCCTAACTACTGACAGTAGGCTCTTTTTTCACGTTCTAAAAAATGGAAAGGGAATTTTCACAATTATTGTGTCAAACCACTTCCAAAAAGGGGCGCCAGACTTGCTTCAAATCGGCGAGGGAGGGACAACTGCCCCTAGTTGCCCCCCTTTAATCCGCCACTGTTGAAAGGGACCCTCCGATAAAGCTAAATCAAATTTTAAAATTTTAAAAAGAACAATAACCTGAAACCCATTTACAAATAAAAATTATTTATAATATAATCGAAGAAAGGTTCAAAAGTCAAAACGTATTTTAAAGCTGTTTAGGGACAATGCAAACATTTTTGGCCAACTCCTCTCTGTTAGAAAAAGTCCCTTTACCAATTCAGAGTGCTTAGAGCAATCTGCCCCTTGCCCCTTGCCAAAAATCTCAGCGAGCCCTGGAGTAGAATGAATGTTAAGGTCGTCTGAAGTGATAGAATGAACCAACTGTTAGGTATCTGTACGGCTAATTTTGCCAATCAACCATTTAAAGGTTTTAGCGATTAATTCATGAATAATCCTTGGGGTATCAAACCCCCTCTATTTCCCCTATTCATTCAGACATGCCTCTTGGGAAGATATGTGGCTTATTCCAAGGTTGAAAGGATTCTAAACTCGGAGAGCTCGAAAAGAGAAATTTTGAAGAATTTAGAGAAAGCAAAGTAATTTATGGTACCACGCCCATAGAAGTCTAAGCCAACGCCCTTAGAACGCGCTTAAAACAAGCTAAGGCCATGTCTCGTTTTTATTTTTTACATAACTTTTGATTTTCGGCTCGCTGGCCAGCGAATGTATGAACAATTTTCAAGGCTGTTCTTTCGAAACAAATAAATTCAAGCCATGAAAATATAAAAACAATAACTTTCTAATAAAAAATGGGGAAGAAACCTTTTGGTTCTGGCAGATTCATAACAACCTCTGGTTTTCCATAGGGAATAGCGGCGTGTTGCGGGAAGTATGGTTTGGGCTTGGTCTTAGTCCACACCTCAAAGACCTTATCAACAATCCGCGTTTTCCTCAAACACCGGACGAGTATCTTATTCTTGATAAATTTGAAGCACCTCCAAATGCTGGCGACGGATATGGTCAAAGGCTATCGACGTATTTTCGGGTAAGCTAATTTACAGACCAAGATTCTTTTTTGAAAATGTCTGATATATCTATTTTACAGACCAAGATTCTTTTCTGAGAATGTCTGATGTATCTATTTTACAGACCATGATATATTTTCACAGTATTGCCCTAAACGTATTTCCGGACCACGATGTCGTGTTTGGTAAGCTGGATGTCTCTAATTAAAGGACGCGAATGTAGTCTTCCACAATGTTGGATGTATCTTATGTACGGATTGTTATATCACATCTCGATAATTTCATTTTTAACAGTTCAAAAGTTTCAGAACAGTATCGGTCTGGAAAAAACTTCGGAAACATTTGAAAATACTTAACCTAATTCAATTTACTAACTAGTTAACGGGCCGCCTGAATCTAAATTACGGACCACGATACCGTGTCTCGCAATGCCATATGTCCCTCCCCTTGGCTAATTCTTAATACCCCAAAGCTTTTGTCAGTATTTCGCAATAATACATATATTTACAGGAGAGTCAAATTTGAATGTATGTGTTTTTCTAAATAGATTCTAAACTTTATTCATGGGCTCCGACACAGGTTGAAAATTAGGAGAAGCAATGGAAAATTTAACCACCATAACAAAAGATTTTGAAAAAGCTTTATTGTTTTGTAAAAATGTAGGAGGCATGGCCCCCCTTCGTCGGAGACCCTGTTACTCCCCCATTTGTAGCTGTTGCGATTAGTAAACGTGTTTCATCGTTTATGCTAATATTCACCCCCTTTTCCTTTTTTAGGCCCCCCTAACTGGTGATTACCTCTTCTACATGTCATGTGACAACGAATGCGAGTTATGGTTAAGCCCGGACACAGACGAGCTGAACTCAAGCATGTCTATCGAATTGAAAAACGGACATTACACCTCATATCGACAATGGACAAAGTGAGTAATAAACAAAATTAGGCAAACAATCTTTTGGTGGTACAAACTTGTAAATGGCTTTGAAAAAAGCAAACATTTAGTAAACTAAAGCTTTTCGTCTGACACTCTTCGGAGTTTAAAACGTCTGAGCATTGATCGAAAACTCTACGCTAGGAAATATATATACCCAGTTGTGGATCGAAATAGGCCAATCAGTAAACACGAGCACAGTCAAGGGTACAGTCAAGGGCAGTCGGTTGGCTCGGATGCTTTGTGGCACCCAACATGGGGGCTCAGTTGTTAGAGGCGTTGACTACAGAACCAAGGGCCCGTGGTTCGAGTCCCTGAAAAGACCAAACTTTCTCCTAGAGTGAGTAGAGTCGCCAGCTCTCTGTAATTCCAGGTGTAGGAATCACGAGGTGTGGTCACATCGAGAGGAAGGACCAGGACACTGCTCGATGAGCATAAGCTTTTCAGTGTCCTAAAAAACTACCTTCGGATGCTAGGTAAAAACAAATACAAACATGGGGCAACGGCCTTGGGAATTCCAGGGCGCAAACCTCATGCTAGACCTTGTTAACCAAATGGCCCTATTATTGGCCTACTTAGCAAAGTGAAAAACCGGAAAAGATTGTTTTAAAATCAGTCTACCACGCGCCATTTAGCCCTTTTTCTTGTAATTTCCAGCTATTTCTCTGCAAAATCACACACTGCAATTGCCTAGCCCTATCGAGAGATAATTTATTCAAAATATCATTTTATGATCTCGACAATCGTCCTGTGCACAACTGATAATGTTCCCTGAGTCGCTTTCTTTGTAAACTAGGTCAGCTTTTAATATTAATGGCAATCGACAGATGTGAATGTGGCCATCTGCCACTCAAATTTAACCAATCCGTGAGTGTGTGAATGGAATCACGCTCACTGATTGGTCAGCTCTGGAAGTAAAGATGGCTTTAGTTTCACTCGATTCCATAAAGCCATTTCACTTAAAGTGAAATGTTTATTTAGTTTTCTTGTCTACTGAATGCTGTTTTGCAAATTCAGATTTCTTCGTGGGAGATTGAAACCCACGAATTGCGGACAAGACTTTAAAGACAACGAAGTTTCATTTTGCAAATTAAAAGGGCGTCATTTTTCGAAAGCTCAAATGACCCGGCCATTTTGCTATTTCCTCTCGAGCCCTTGCAACTTGAAACCATTTCCTCGTCTGCCTTTGGCCCCACATAATAATAAAGGGAGTTTTTTAGGGTTCACCTTTTTCACCCCGATTCATCTGTTTGACCCCATTTCTTATTTACCCCGGGCGCTGCTAACATGGTTGCAAATTTTCGTCCATCCCCTGCCATTTTAAGACAAGTTTTCTCTTGCCATTCTAAGACCTGTCCCCTTGTGTATTTACCTGCATTCCCCCGTGAAACATATGCTCACAGGCTTTCTACACGGGGGTCTTATATCCTTGATCTGGATACATAACTAAATCTTGACTCTTGATTTATCTCAGGTATCCATCTGAGCAGACCTCCCGGCCTGTGAAAATGGAGAAAGACAAATTCTATTTTATGGAGTCATTTATGAAAGAGGGAACCGGGGGTGACAACTTGTCGATTGGAGTCAGGTTCCCAGATGGAAAAACGGAAATGCCAATTTTCAACAACTTATTTTTGATTCCTGGTAAGTTTTACTTTTCAAAATAATTTTTCTTTATAGAATATTTCTGTCTGTTGCAATGCCACTTCTAGGTGGCTCATCCCCCCCCCCCCCCACAGACAGGACATTTCAAAATCAAATGAAATGTCTGCAGTTTGGCATAGATCGTTAGTCAGAGGTTTAAGTTAATGATGCTTTCAATGCGATCCGTTCCTGTCCTTCAACAATAGATATTATTTGGAGTACCCCCTGGTGTAGATATCACCTTGACCTATGACCTATGACCTTTGATCTTTGTGAACTCTTGGTGACCCTTCATTTAAAATATTAATTGGTAAGAAATTTTTAAAATCAATGTATATTATTTAAGTTTATGACAAACATATGTCTTTGAGCCATATAAAGTATCGAAAAATATAACGAGTATCAGTTTGTAAATATCATAACAAGAGTATCAGAAAAAACTAATACTTTCCTCCTAAACAATACAGTTTTCCGATAATGTCCGTAAACTGTAAAAATACACTTTCACCCATGAATATTTGTGGGTAGTAAATTTCATTTTTCTTTAATATTGAGTGTTATTTTGCAACTTAACAGAAATAGAAATATAAAAATATACATTTTCATGACTATGCTATCAAATATTTTAACTTTTTTTATTCCATTTAATACTTAAAAGTGATGTTATCAAATAAAACATATTTAATCTAAAATTCCAGTAACTTGAATATATTATTCTTTAACCTATATACCGATTAAAAACTCATTAAATTTATCTTCGTTTAAGCTCTTACTGGCCCGGCTTCTGCCGATAAAAACCTAAAATCTGGAAGGACTAAAAAATTACTTGAAAATGCACAATATAGTAACTTACCGGTTCAGGAAAACTATTTGGAAAGACCGGACCGTGTGCAAAACTTCGAATCCGACTTAGATATGTTCAATGCTCGCAAGCGAACATCCGTCCGGCGTGACAGTGAGTAAACCGGACCGTGGTTTTTGAACCAGGTTATATTTCTGATCTCTGGTAATAAAATTTTGGGTTTGCTCGGTGCTACAACATAAATCAGTGCGAGCAATATGATCCGGACGGCAAGAGGTTGAGCTTCGTCCTAGAAATTCCGGTTTCGTGAAAGTCAAAGAAAGATCCGTCTGGAACTGATTTTGAAACCGTTGTCATTGTTTCCTGTGAATGGAGTCCGGAACGTTATAAACGACTCTGGAGATGAAATTATGGCAGAAAGGATCGGACGAAGACAGAACTGGAAAATAAAGGAATTCAGAACGGATAAAGAAACGAGACTTCAAAAAGACTTCAATAACACAATGTCAATGGTATATATGAATTAATGTATGAAGTATCTAAAATGTTTAGAGACCGCAGAGATCCGGAATTATGGTGTCTCTGGGGAATATATTCAATATTTATTCAGTGTTCTTTGAGGAGGCCTCAAAAGCCGCTGAAAACGTCGAGTTGAAATGGTTTTGATATATATACAGACGTGTCCTAGTAATGTAAATCTTCGGCGCAAAGGTGATCCTCAAAGAACATCCATTTAAATTTGAATTATTAACCGAAAACGATTTTTGTCCCTACTGATTGTAATCCCACGCGATGCTTTTTTCGTTGAACCGTCATGTTTTGCTGACGCCATACTGCATCGTAGAATCTCTCGCGGGCGGTCTGATTCAGAGCGATGATATATTAGATATTCTATCAGAGAGTGATAGAATATCTTAAGAAAGGACAATTAACAGTCCAAGAATGAGAATTCTGCAAAACAGTGGTGGTAAAAGGCCTATTTTGGTTTGATGACGTCATCAGTCAATTTCTTCTGTCTACAATTTCGAGAGTGATGGCATTGTGAAGAGGAAAAAGAAAGTTTTGTGGTCCTAGCTAAAATACTCGTTTGCTGAAAAACCTGAGACCAGCAGAACATTTCCAGGTGGGGGAGGTGGGGCCGTGCTAAAGCCAAAATATTTAATGTTCAAAATAAATGCCAAGGGGCTACTTTCTAATCAGAAGAGCTGTTTTACATTTTAGCCCTTTGGTCACCTCAACCACCTATAGCGTGGGCTTGTTTGCTGAAATATATATAGAAGAAAACATTTTTGCCGAGGAGAAGAATTTATGATTTTAAATGCACCGTGCTGAGTTTTCCAGAAAGATCTTATCTTCCCTCCTTAATTTGACTCTTATATCCTTGTCTTTTGAATCAAACCCCACAATTCCTTTAAACTATCTCCCCTTTAAATAGGTTTCCATTTTTAAAAATTCTCAGTTTGAACCTTAACTTCCTTTGAATCTGTTTCGTGTTCCAAAACCAGAATATTTTTGTACATTTTATTAATATATTAGTTAATCTATTAATTTCAAGCTTTTAACTTTTATTTTATTGTTAACTTAGCTTCTAACCTCTTTAGGTCTGCCCCCAGTCAACAATTTCTTTATTAACGGTTGGAAAATGCCAAAAGGTATTTTCTTTCGAAAGTCCCTAACTTGTTGGGAAAATGCGTAGCTGCTGCTTCTGAATCCCCCGTCAATGCATTAAATTTCACTGCATGGACGGGGGTAGAAGACTTCAAGCTCATCGTTCCTCCAAAAATAACATATTTTAAGGTAAATAGATTGAAATTGTCTTGCTGATAAATTCCCATAATGCAACACCGTCTTATTCAAAAATCAGTTTTGATTGGCTAAACTTATAACCAATGGAATTCATCCAGCTCCTTCCCAGGAACCACTTTGTCAGTCTTTTCCATGTTCCTTGTTGCGATATGTTATAAAGATGTTGCGAGTATTTATAACCTTCTAGTAATGTTGTAAATATTTTTGTTATATATGACGTCATGATTGTCTTCTCTGTTTTTCGCTCTTTTGGAGTTGTATCCTTTGTAAGAAGTGAAAAAGAAAATTATTTAATGTGGGGGAGGGGACGAAAATGAGGGTCTAGAGGCAAATTCTTCCGAAAAAAGGTTTTTCTCAGACAATTCCATCTGACTGTTTTTAGCATGCTCGGTTTCCTATTTTATATCATAATTTTATGGAACACTTTCTCGTAAAATGCATTTTAATTATACTTGCAAATACACACTATACTCTATAGGTTTATTAGGGGTCTTGGCCCCAAAGCACCACTTGCCAGTGAATGATTACTCGCATATCAGAGGAAGAGGTGTTAATGTGGTCAGGGCACCAGTACTTTATGCTGCCCACGTTTGCTTTACAAAACTGCAGTGACCTGACCTTTGTTCATACTTTCTACGTCAAATATGCCATAGCTTCGAAACTTTTCTCAACAAGCAATTATAAATGTTTTGTTCGGGTTACAGATCTTTTTTGTTTTCTATGTTCAGATTCGTTTGTCTAAATATACTCTAGTCCTGTTCTCTGTGGAGAGCTATATTGTCCAGCCAACCCCAACCAAAGGTTCAGGGAAACAAAGTTTTTCATCAGTGATTCGCACCCAGTCTATTTTCCGTTACGCAACGAATTTTGCATCGGCCTAGAAACGATGAAGATTTAACGGCCTAGCTTGTTGCTCCAGAAGATTTTCGCTTTGCAAATCTTCCACGTTGCAAACAACTAGCTTTGTAAACACCACAGGTTTTCATAGACTCTATATCAACTATTCACTTAGCCTGCATCGCAGATTTCTTTTCTTGTTTATATGGATCATAACATACCTGCTAACCTAACATATACTGCAACCAGATGCTTTGTAATCATTCATAAGAAATCTTATTTAGTCCAACGAGATTGAATTTAACTGTTGACGTAAAAGAAATATTTTCTATATACATGTACATAAAGAGTTCCATGCAATGCGTCATTCGCAGGTCCACTATTGTGCAGCTGTGAAAATATATTTGGGTTGAAACCTGTGTACGGCATTCATTCATAGTGGGTACCAAAACAGAAGCAAAGACTATTTCTGGCTGCATGAAGTAAAGTCGAAGCCATTGTTAGGAAGAAGGGATTGACAAAGCCGCTTTATGTTGGGCTGGAGGTATAAACGAAGCCAATATATGCTTGACTCGAGGTATTCAAGAAACCAATATATGCTTGACCCGAGGTATCAAAGAAACCAATATATGCTAGACTCGATGTATTAAAGAAGCCAATATATGCTAGACTCGATGTATTAAAGAAGCCAATATATGCCTTACTCGAGGTATTAAAGAAACCAATATATGCTAGATTCGATGTACTAGAGAAGCCAATATATGCTTGACTCGAGGTATCACAGAAGCCAATTTACGCTTTACTCGAGGTATTAGAAAGCCTATTCTGCAAATTTAAGAACATTCAAAGACAAAATGGATCAGGCTAAAGATAGTGAAAATGAGGTAACATAAATTTTCTTGCAATAGATTTTGTGTTATAGTGTCCTGAGGTTTTGAACAAGCTGCAAACTATTCAATAAAATTCACGAAAGCAAATAGCTGTTTATTTTGAAACAGTATATTTTGATTGCACAGCTTATGAATAGTTTGAGAGTCTGTGACAAATATTACTTTCGTGTTATTATCTTCTATGACCCGACCGTCTAACGGGGCCTAAAATTTCTCTTTATTAGAAAAGATAAGGGTATCGATTTCTGATAGCGTCATTTTCAGGGGGTAATGTTGGCAATTGTTCGAAGCTTTGCAACATAGCTTAACAATTTTCAGAAGTATGCATCGCTTTAAGTGTTAATTGATATTGACACAGTAACAGACGAATTCATTTAACCAATGAAATCGTCTGTTAGTCAAATACTTGTTTCTATTGACTAGTATGATAAGATTCAAAACACCCCCATGTAACAAGAGCAGCGAGTATTTTTATCATGGGGGGTCGCAGTTAAATAAGGCAGGGGACACAAAATTTGTTCTGGATTTGCAAGGGATGGGATAAATGCGATCGGAGAAATGGGCCTCAAAAACAAACATTAAAGAGAACCTCTATGTATTTTCAGGCAGGAAAACAAGACAAAGGGGGGATTTAAGACTGAGGGGGGTTAAACTTTCTCACTTTGCACTTCCATGGGACATGAGGAATTGGAGGACGGCCCGGGTCATTCAGTTATCTGAACGAAGACTCAAGAAAATTTTTCAACGGAAGTGGCTTTCGCCGTGCTTGCTACTCGGGGGGGGGGCTGCTCGAGGGGGCTGTCTCACATACCTTCGCCCAATCAAATAGGCCTTATTTACACTTCAGGAGATGCCAATGGATAAAGTCACAAAGGCGTTTATCGCTGCCCACGAAAGCAGTGAGGCAAGTTTGAGTAGCCGAGTACTGCGCTTCTTCCGAGGCCATGAAGAGAAGAAGGAACTTGAAGACAAGAAGAAGCTTGCTGAAGCACAAAAGAAGAGAGCGGAAGAGCGAAGGGCAATGGAGGAATTCTACAGGAAGAAATATAATCTAGGTCATGGTGCTAAAGGAGGAGAATGCCATACAGATGAAAGTACTGCAACGAAGAATGATTCTGGCAGCCATGACACTTTTGGGCTAGGAAGACTGCAAAGGTTTTTCAGCGTAGATAAAGATGGGAAAGAGAGTCATCCGTGACCTTAAAAAGTCGTCAACAAGTTGTTTTCACAAAAGACAACAGTGGTGAGAAGGAGCACTGTCTGGTTTGGAGGACGAGCAAGTGAATTTCTGAACGAACAAGCTAAGTTTCTCCTTTCTTCCAGTCAGTGAGCATGCGCAATAAAGATTGACTTCAAGCGCATGCCTTTGAATTCAAAGATGGGAGTGGCTCATAAATTTTAAAGCTTTTATATTGCGCCAGTAGAACACGCTAGTTTTAATTGTAGAATTCTTACTTAAAAGCCAGAGGTCAAAAGGAAGGGGTCAAATGGTGGAGGTCAAAGGACACAATGATATAGAAGATTTTGATTGACACTGTAGCATGTGTTCTACACCATGTAATGAATGTGATAAACCTTAAATAACACGTTTTTAATATGTATAGATATAACGATTTTATCAAGTTCTGTTTTGCAGACTCCCCTCCATTCCATTTCAATTTTTTTCATTTATTCATATTTATCCGCGATGTCCATTCAGTTCTTCTATAAAAGTTAATTACAATAAAAAGTTGCAGTTTCTAACTAATTAAATCAAGATACTTTGCCCTAAGAAATCAATCAAAAATACTTTGCCCTTGTTCAAAGCCTTTAAATTCTTCACTTCTTCCTCCATATCTCTTTTAACAGCTCTGAAGTCATGCTTTGTCTGACTCAGGCTGCCCGTTAGCGTAGAGTTAATGTCCGTTGCTTTAAGTTAGAAGGAATAGATTGTGTGTGAAAGCCAAATTGATCAAGAAATGGACATCGGAATAAAAATGGACCCAGATATCATTCTTGAGGAGTATCCAAAGAGATTAAATTTATCTACAAAATAGACCAATTCGACTTACGGCCTCGTTTTGAAAAAATCTTCAAATTCTTTTGTACAAAATTTTTAACCTCAGATTCGGATTACGAGCAATGATTTTAGTCTATTTTCATTATGTTATTGCTCACGATATTGATTTTATGACGACATAAAGATAAAAATTTTATAAGAGATTTGACCGTGATTGGCGATTAGGGGGGTATAGTTTCCCCCGGAATGATTTTTGCGGTCAAATCCCTTTTCCAACTTTTCAAACTTCATTTCTCCATAAAATCACAAAGCACAAACAAAATGAAAAATGTATCCAGCCTAAATCTATTGTGATAAAACCAAATCTGAGCTTAAAAAAGTCGTATAATTAAATTTGGGGAAATTTCCAAAACAAGGCCGTAAGTGGAATTGGTCTATTGAGTAGTACATGTATTTTCAACGGAATTTCATTTGAGATAGCAGATATTCCGACTCAAACTTTGAGTGATGAGGTTGTAATGAATGGACTAATTCAGGGCCTAATTGTTTTTCAATCTAACTGATTTTTTGACTGAAACCATGAATATTAATTTAAAGATTTCAAGCCTTTTCGTACTGCACGTTTTTGAAATGACACAGAAAGAGTTCTTTTTCACATTCGCCTGCTGTTTTGAAAACCTTTTTATAGCAAATAATTAAATATACATCGCATCAGAGTTTTCTGCACAAGATAATGAATTTACCGAAGAAAATAACAGCTAACTGGCCTGTTTTAAAGTACTCGATGCCGTACAAACATATGTAGAACAGGACGATTCTAAGTCGCAACTCTGGGTTCCCACTAAGTTTAATGTGATCACCAGGAGTTGTGTATGTTTTTTAATAAACAATTCATGTACAAGACATATTGACTAAAGAAGATTACAGTTAACTGGTCTGGGATGAAGTGCTTGATGCCGTGAGGGAAAACTGTACACATTGCGGTGTATAGAACAGGACGGTTCTAAGTTGTAGCCCTGGGTTTGACGCTTAACGTGATCCCCAGGCATTGTGTATGCTTGTTAATAAACAATTCATGTACAAGACATATTGACTGAAGAAGTTTACAGCTAACTGGTCTGGTATAAGGTGCCGTGTAGGGAGAGCTACCACGTTGAAGTGTATAGAACAGGATAGTTCTTAAGACACAACACCAAGTTTCCACTTTCAATACGATAACCAGGCAACTGCAGCGTAAATTTAATATCAAAGACTATTAGATCCTTCAAGCATATTATGTTGTGCCACAAAGTGTTTCAGATTGTCCATGTACGGTACATCTTCTAGTGTAGGCCTATTGGATCATCCTAGGTTGGTTTTTTGACATGTAAACAACGTAGGTCTTGGAAGGAAGGAAGGGTTGTGAAAGAGTAGAAAAATTGTAATGAAAGATAAGAAGGAATATTTATACATTTTTATACATTCCAAAAAGTTACATAACAAGTTACTGTAATACCTTAACAACACGCTACTTTGCATACACTACAAAGACGATACCCCGGGGAGCATCAACTCTGTCTGGGCCATAACATAGAGGGGGAAAATGCACGTTTGTAATTACAAAGAGCTTGAAGATATACGAGACTTTTGATCTCAAGCATTGACTCAATTGACTTGATCTGTATACCTGTTAAGATACCAACCATATTACACCTGGGTTGTTCTTTAAGGCAGCCTTTCCACTAGCCTGGGTTAAAACAAATCCGGGTTAAAAGTTATCCGTTTCTGCGTTGCGTTCCCACTAACCCACTTGAAAAACGGATAAATTTGAAAACGGGTCTCAAAGTGGGTCAGTTTTTACCCGGGTATCTTTTGACCCACCTGCAAGTTAGTGGAAAAATGCACGGGTGGGTCTATGAGAAGTAAACTTTAATCGAACCGTTTAGTTTCAAAATATGATTTAATATTTAAACATGATTGAACATGTTTTCAATGTGTGTCTTGTGCCCTACGTCTTAAATTTACAGATTAAAAGTGAATCTCTAAAACTAAAAATATGATACATAAAAAATACATAAATTTCAAGATCAACTATTTACATTCAAATTTCAAGAAAATATTTGTTAAAATATTCCTAAAGTTTTATCTTAAAACTCTTTGAAGTTCTTAATTTTACGACGTTCCAGTGGCAGTTCATTTTAAGCTTTGCACCCATCAGGGACCATGGAAGCAGGGGAGGGGGCTACGGGGGCTTTAGCTCCCTAAGTAATTTCCAAAACGTACTTGAGATCATACCAAAAGTCGCTCTGCTATTGGTTTTAGCATGTTTAGCCCCCTCCCCCAAAACATTTTAGCCCCCCTCAATCGGTAATATGTTCTGCGGTCCTTGGCATCCATAAACATATATGATCTTCGTGCATAATCAATTACCAACTTTTTAGATTGTTTTGTACTTCAAGAAGTACTGCGTGATGTTTTCTCGGGCTATGTGGCGAAAATCAGGGTTCTAAGAACAGATCTTGATGATAAAGGCCCATTTCCACTTGACATTTTTTGTGCGCGCGGGCGTAGCGCCCAAATCTGAGCATGCGTAGCTAAATGCTGCTGTCAAGTGGCCGAGCGCACAAAAAAGTTGAGATCCTATCAACTTTCTGGCGCTCACAGCGGACGCAAAATCGAGACCACTTGACTTTAACTACGCATGCTCGGATTTTGGGGCTACGCCCGCGGGCACAAAAAATGTCAAATGGAAATCGGAATTATGATGGCAGCGAAAAAGTAGTTTAAATACTTCATTTTGATAGCAAAAACTTCTTTTTGGTAGGAGAAAATCTGGGATATCACTCCAGTCTAGCTGTTTTGAAAATCAAATTATCCTGGGTGTCCTATCGAATTAAAAGCAGATAAGGTCTTTTCCTCTCTGTGTTATTGTGAGATTTCGATTAGGTCTGAGTATTCAACGCGCACGAAACGCTAATTATTTTTTTAGTCGTGTTTCTAATTTGCTTAGGAAATCGATTATTGTGGGAAAACCATTTATGTTTTAAGTAGGATCTCTAAAACTGCTGTATCAAATGTTCCATTCCACCTGTTTTTGCGTGTTTTAAGAGTTTCTCAGCTCCAGTTCATCAGAAAGACCGTTGTTGCGATAATAGCTATGCCAGATGTTTTTTTCGACTTAATGTATGTTGCCTACAAGAGGCAAGCGCGTATCAAAACTCGATCAGTGTCGCACAGCCTGCTGAAGACAGAAGATACTTGTAGGGGCATTACCAAGATATTATAGAAGCATCACCAACGTCCATCGCTACAGCCACTTTTCAGCCTATTATACCATTTTGAGCTTGCAGTAAAACCAGAAAGAAATAAAGACGTCTTCAACACAATTTTTTTCAGGTAAGCAGTTAACAATTTTTGAACATTTGTTGACAATTTTGTAGCAAGCAGTTTCAAGTCTATGAATCAGCTACAAACCCGGACAGAATTGATGAGACAAAATGCACTTTTTGCGATTTCTCACTTTACATTGCCCCTGTAAATCCGAATCCCTTTCTTTCTCCCCTGAATCGATGTCGGATTAGCAGTTTTATATATTATGCCTAGAAATGCATTCAACATTGCGTCAGGGAGAGGGGGGAGTCATTTTTGAAGAGAAAGAAAACACATTAACTTTACTTGATACTTCTCAACTATTTTTGTCCCGGATTGTAGTCAGCTAATCATCAAAATTTAGAAGAAGTGGTTTTGCTTATTGCTTTTTTACGTGCGTTACGTGTAACAGACAAATTCGAACCCTTCAAAAACAATTGTTTGAAGGCTCCTTGGTCTAAAAATTCTTGAACAAGGTTCCTAGAAGTACAACCGATCGATCTTTAATAGAAATTGTTTTGATCAAATCTATTTTTTAAAAGATTTAATCGATTTATGTTCAAAATGATTTACAACTTAAGATTCGCGTGACGCTGAAACTAAAATGAAGGAGACGCTATCTCATGATCGGCTAAAACAAAATTTCCTGCAATCCAGCTACGAAATCCAGCTCTTTCTTTCAGAGATCAGTCAACAAATTTAGGGCTAGATATAACAAATCAATTTTTTAAAGAAACAGTCGCATCTCTGTTCAGAACATAAAATAGGGAAAGAGTCGTCAACATTAAAAAACACGGCGTTGAAATTTCCCAGACGCTCTTCCTTCCATCCTCAACTTTCACAGATGTCAACACTTTATTTTGAATATATTTTCTTATCTATACATTATTCAACTGTTCAGGAGTACACTATATAATAAAACTGCCATAAATCATTCTTTACAAAATATTCCACGATTTACTAGGTCCTTTTTTAAAGTATCTCTATCCGGGTCCGCAATATTTCCTTGACCGCTTTGTTTAGACACAGGTTTGGTCGCAAACCCATTAGAGATTGCAAAGGGCCATACAACCAATAAAGAATATTTGCTGGTTGCAATGAAGAATTGCCTTGTGTAGTCTTTATTTTAATGAAAATGCTAAAACTTTTCTGGTATTTAATTTGGTAACTTCTATTATATTTTATCATCTGCTTTATATTTTATCAGTATTTAACTCTTCATGACGTCACTATATATATAAAACTGTCTATGCAGGTTGACAATATTTGCTTGAACATGTTGTTTGACTTCTGGTTAGATCGTGAACCCATTGGGAATGCTACCCTGGGTGCCAAAGCCTCAGAGAGTCAAAGGATGAAAAACGGGGAAAGGAATTGCGAAGGAGAATGGAAGAGGAAAGGGGAGAGACTCTCTGCGCAATTCCTTCCCCCGTTTTTTATCCTTTGACTCCCTGAGGCACTTGCACTCAGGGTATGGGAATGCTAAATTTTGCCGTTGACGAAAATAAGAAGTGCTATTTGTAGTCTGTATTTAAATCAAAATAGTCTATGATGAAGCTTTTCTAGTACTTGCAATCGATTTGAGAAAAAAGCCGGGAGAAAATGTGAGCAAGTGACACCCCTAGAGCCGAATACCTCTACGGGTTATCGGAAACAAGTGTTGTCGCTTTTCTAAAGGAAAATATTGGAACATGTGGTATTTTACCAGGGATCAAAGAAACATTTTGACAATATCTGGAGAGGGAACATCCAAAAAGAATTATTGGAATCAAGGAACAGTTTTTAAGGAACATGGGAACGCAGACCCCTTTAGGGAAATAGAACCCGCGATCAGTGACTCTGTATGTCGTCTGCTCCACCAAATGAGCTACTCGTATATGTTTTGATACCGAGGCCCAAGGCTGCCCGGGGGGGGGGGCTATCACAGCGCCAAACGAAACGCATACCAATCAATACAAGATTTCAAATGAAAATGTAAGTGAATGATTCGAACTGGGTGAAATTCAAACCCGTGACCAGTGACTATATCGTTTACACTACCAAGTTTTCATATCCAAGCCTAAAGCCTTGTAAATCACACCTCTACCTCCCTCCCCCTCCCTCCCCTCCCTCCCCCTCCTTCCCCCCTCCCCCTAACCAAATGCACAGGGAACAATCACAATACACACTAAATCCATTGCAAATTAATTTCTAGCTCTTTGCTCAGCTGCTTTCTATAGAGCAAATAGGCTTAGTAAGAAACAGAGAAATACTTGGTACGCCGTTGGATAGTAATTAAAAATTGTTTTAGAACATCCTGGAATGGTCGGAAAGGTAAGATCTCTTCGGATTTAACCAATCGTTTTTTGCATTCGTTATTTTTCAATATACTACAATATTTGGCCAAGAGTTTATGAAATTTTCTGATAACTATTGTTTCGCTTTGAAAACCAGATTAATTTCTTTACGCAAAGCCAGATGCATGCACTCGTTGCCAAAAAAGGACATTATATGCAGCTGAAATCTTCAAAACACTCCGACAACCTTCGAGCAAACACTCCAACCGCTTTCTTCGATTTTTCCAACAATATCACTGTAATTTGGTCAAATTCTTTTTGCTCCATTTTGGTTTCATTTCTTTTTGCTTCAACGTAAACGCGATGAAAAATGAACTATCGTACCCAAGCAAGAGTGTAATCCTTGAAGTTTTGTTCTTTTAGGATTTAAAACCATTTCTTGTTTCTGTTAATTGCTCAAAGTAATTAAATGCCATTTGAAGTGACTAAATGACCGTGTGTCTTTTCCTGCTTTGATTGCCACAGCATAATGTAATGTTTTTTGATATTTTGAAAACTGGAACAAACTCATCCCGCCTCGAGTTTTATTTCGACTTCTTGTCCCGGGGGGTCACTTGCGCTTTACATTTACGAGGGTTCCATCCGCAAATTCTTTCAAAATTTGTTTTGAGAATTATTTAATTTTGATCAAATAAACAGAAAGAGGATCATAAAAAATCTCGAAAAGTTTAAAGCCCTTTTATCGAGTTACGAATTGGCTGAAATATAGGCAGATGATCAAAAGCTCTTTCCCAATCAAACCACTGTAATTTCGTCTTGGCTCATAACTTTATGGACCAGGACAGAATAACAGTAATCCGTTAGCAAACTTGAAATCTTTCATCTTGAAAACCTCGCCTATTTTTGGACATTTTTGCATTATTTCAACATCTGGATGTAATTTACAGTAATCTTTCAGATGTCATGTTCCAAATTTCAAAATTAATATCTTTTTCGTTGCTTATTAAAACTATTTGCAGTTAGCAAATTTACGTGCATGGCCAAGAAGTTATGGGAGTAATTCATCGGTCGTGGCTTCACATACCTAGCGGATCACATTGACTCATGATAAAATTATTTATTATCAATACCTAATGAAATGAAAAGTTGTCTTTTATATAGGAAGATTGTAATTAAAGCAAAGTTAAAGGCAAGCTGCCCCCTCAATGATTGGCTAATATTAACAGGAGCTTATCCCGCCTTAACGGATTACGCTGCTCGCTTTGGCTGGCCTAGCTGCGGTAGTAGACGACACTTGAAACTGCGAGCAAAAAGCTCTCGGAAATGGCAAGAAGATTTAATAACTGGAGTTGAATCATGGTCATGGAAGCATTTCATTTTGCTGTTGACATATCTGTCGCAAAAACCAAATAGGGAAACAAATTTTTCTAGCCACAGCTTTACTTCAACAGGAACACAGCCTTTGATTCCAAAGCTCTGGAATCAAAGTTGTCTCTGATTGGTTTACATCGTTTAATTATCGATGAAGCTCAGCGGTGCGTGAATTTCACTAACAATAAAAGAAAATGAGCACAATATGGGACAGACTGTCTTTAAATGTAATGTGTCCATATAAAAGGACTGCGTATACCCAACTTGTCAAGCCACCCATCAAAATAACGGTTTGCGATTGGTTAGTATTCTTGCGATGCAAAACTGCTCACATGAAAAGCTAACCTCGCAGCAGTGTAGATAAACAGAATGACCGTAATGGCTGGGGCGATGACATGAAAATTTTTTTTTTTTGAAATCCCCCGCAAAGTTGCTTGCTTTAGCTGGACACATTACCTTTACGAGTCGCAGGAAGCAAACCTCAAATCTCTTTTTACAATACATCACCGAACTGTTAGCATATTAAACTGTCTTGCTCATATTTGCACGTATTTCATAGTTAGGTTGATTTTCACGTTCTTTTAGGTTGTGTGGCTGACTAAAGTCAAAATTCTTAGAATATATTTTTATGACGTCAAATTTTAAAAGCCTATTGTTAAATAACATTGTTTGTCTTCGTTTAAATTTTGTCTGTTTTTTATCTTTGTCAGGTCAAACTTTAAAAAACGAAATTTCTAATATATGACGTTTGTAGAATATGGCTATTGTTGGGGAGACGAGATCGCGGCTCCATTGTTTAGAACAAAAGCGTAACTGGTTTGTCCGAACCAATTAGCTACGAGGAGTAGGTACGCACGCGCATCAAACCTGCTAGAACAATGCTGGACTACGTTGTTTATTTTTTGTATAAGTTCCCCCCTTTGCCTATCTGTTGTGAAATGCAAAGTACGCATGTGCACCTACTCCTTTCACGGGGGGCTACCTACACCTTACGGACTTACCCTTACTCGTCTCCCCAACAAGCTAGACAATCAGTTTTCGAAACATTCTCTGTCTTCTAGGCCAAAACTCTTTAACTTTAATAAGACTTTAATAAACCAATTCAAAAGGCCGATCATTTTTAAGCTTTGTTGGAGGTGAGGATGGGTATGAGAGTTGGGTCATAGAACTTAACTCCTAGAGGCGTTTCATGTAATCATTTTCGAACTAAAATATCGCTAATATTTTTGTCTTGCAGTGCCATTTTAGTATCTTTCGATACTTGCAAAGTGATAAATTTTCAAACTGTAATGATTTGTAAACTTTTTAACTTCAAAGAGGTAGGACGAAATGTCTGGAGAAATCTAGATCTTCTAGGCAACGGCCACAGAGTTGTGTTTTGACTGGAGAATGCCGTTTCTAAAAACTGTGCACTATAGGATATAAATTCGAAAGTCTGGTTCATTCTAATTCGAAGCTCCTTCCTCAATTGTGTTGTTGAAACATCCAAGCTTATTCGACCTTTTCATTTCCTCTAGGCCACGCAGCAATATCGGCCGTGAAGGGTTCTTAACTGTTGACAACATCAAAATCAGAACTTGCTGAAGAAATTGCCCCTAGAATGCACCTTGCAGTCAAAAGCCAAAGGTCAAAAGGTCAAAGTCCATAGTCAAAAGCCAAAGGTCAAAAGGTCAAAGGATATTCTTGGAGGTAGTTAAACGAAGTTATGGAAGAGACATTGAATTTCACATGTCCTCGGTTATTCTCAGAGAAAGGCTCTTTAAAGATTTACCACATCTCGGTAACATACATCCTTGTGTCTAAAATTATCGGTGTCATTAATTTAGCTGCCATTTTGCCGACCCTTGTCATCAACCTATTGCTAGCCGTCACATTGATTAAGACAAAATCTCTTCAAACAGTGCAGAACCTCATAATTTTGCTTATTGTCTTCCTCAACTTGGGACAAGGAATAATTTCAATGCCAGCGCATGGAATACTGCTTATACTGCGGAGCATGAAGCGATTCAGCTGCGTAGCAGATGCCCTCATTTGCTACTTTGGCGCCTCACTTGCAATGAGCTCTATGTTCGCTGCTGATCTTTTGGCCTATGACCGATACGATGCGATCCGCAATCCATTCAAACACGAGGTCAATTTCACCAAAGCGAAGCTAAGAAACACCATTATTGTTTTTGTCATTTTCTCCCTTTTGAATTCGGTTATGTTTTTCATTGCACCACTGGTCCATGTCGCCATTTCCCTAGCTTCCGCTGTCATGATTGGAACGTACGTATTCAACGTTATCGTACACATACTGATGATGCGAACGGTTGCTAAGCTACGGCTCAGACACGAGGAAATCATCCCGAAAAGCCTCGATCTCAGTATTGAAGAAAAGCGAGAGAGGCAAAGGAAGGAGAAGAGGACAGTAAGGTTTACACTTTACGTTATTGGGTTCTTGTTGATATGCTACGCTCCGAGTTTGTTCAAGAACTTTTTCTTCAGTCTGATGACCACCCAAGACTACCTTAATATGGTATCCGACACGATTCTTTTGTTGCATGCGACGATCAGCCCGATTCTATACATATGGCAGGCACCGCAGATTGGCCGGGCTGTTCTGAAACAATGCAATTGTCTAATGAATTCCAGGGTTGAGCCGATAAACACCCAGTCTATTGATGTAGACGGAACAAAATGAATCCGAGTCCGGATATATCGGGTAAAGCGAATCCGGACAGGGGCACTAATTACAATTATTTTTCGCAATATTGCTAACAGTAGGCGATCAGTGATTGGCTAATTCCACTTATTCAGCAGCCTGGGATGTATGACATCTAATAAACCGCATTAATTTTCCAGATTCGCTTAACCCTTATAATACAAAACTCTTTTAGACAACTACTCGGTAAGGTTCTCAGGGTGTGCTAGTTTTTAAACACGTTTAAAAGCTGTGTGAACTACATTGCAATGAGGTTTTCAAATTGTAACGAAATTTTGAAATCGTATCGAGGTTTTGACCTCTTAACGAGGTTTAAACATCATAGTGAGGTTATAACTTATTTGCGAGGCTATTACATAGTAGCGAGGTTAAGACAATGCAGCAAGGTTATAACTCCGTTATGAGGTTATGATGTCGCTGTGAGGTTATTACGTCATAGGTTATTACGTCGTAGCAAGTCTTTCATCTTGCAATGCGGTTATGACATCACAACAAGGTTAACGTAGGCCAAAGAAAAACATAAGTCGGACAGTAAATTATGGTTCAAGATTTGATGCTATGGTGTTGAATATGATTGTTAGACATTTCGGGCATAACACATCATGAATTATAACGAAAAAGAGTGTGATAAGGTGGTAAAAAAGAACTTAAAATAATCGATAGAACAAGCGAAATGTAGAATCTAGACAAGAATGCGACGTAAGGTTGCGCAGAGGAAGGCGATGCAAGAATGCGACGTAAGGTTGCAAAGCAAGAATGTGACGTAAGGTTGTATTGAAAGCGTGCGACGTAAAAATACGCCGCTAGAATGCAACGCAGGAATGCGACAGAAGGGTGCGCAGATAAAAGGCGATGCAAGATTGCGACGTAAGGTTGCAAAGCAAGAATATGACGTAAGGTTGCATTGAAAGAGGGCCACGTAAAAATACGACGCTAGAATGCAAGGCACGAATGCAACGTAAGGTTGCGCAGATAAAAGGCGATGCAAGATTGCGACGTAAGGTTGCAAAGCAAGAGTGTGACGTAAGATTGCGTCGAAAGAATGCGACAAATGAATGTCACGTAACAATGGGCCGAAAGAATGCGAAAGAATGGGCCGTAAGGTTGCGTTGAAGGAATGCGACGTAAGGTTGCGCAGAGGAAGGCGATGCAAGAATGCGACGTAACGTTGCGCAGAGGAAGGCGATGCAAGAATGCGACGTAATGTTGCAAAGAAAGAATGTGACGTAATGTTGCAAAGAAAGAATGTGACGTAAGGTACGCAGGAGAAGTAGAAGAAAAAAAAGTATGCTACCAATACAAGAGTTGTTTCCGAAACGCCTAATAATTATATTCAAGGCATTAACACATGTATACACAGCTGATGAACTTATTGCGATAGTATTGAAAATCTTTGCTCAGCTTTGTAAATATTAGCCAATATCGATGTTTTAGATTACGGTAACTAACTGTTAAAGTTAATAGAGCTTGTATATTTATGATATATTAGCATGTCATAACCAGGATTGTAAATATCATATTGTACTTGTGTATTAAACTAATGTATTCCCACAATATAAGGGCAACTCCATAATTTGTGTGGCTCTTTGTAAATGTAAAAGATTTTGTAAATAGGATTAAAGAGCCAAATAATCAAATAGGTCACTTCTAACAGATCCTGTTACTGTATGCTAGCGATCTACTCAGCAAAAATGGCGCTAAAGTTGTCACTTGTGGAGCAGCTATTTCAATAGAAATTTCAATTGCCACTGCCCACCTTGTTGGTGTCTAATTGTATGAACGAGAATAGACGAGGTTAAGACTGCGTTTTCCACAAATGAATTTTGCATAAACAGCAATGGACCTAGGCAAGTTCCTTGCGAAGCAACGACTTTTGATGATGCTTATGCCGTCAAATTTGCTTGCGTAACTTTAAAGGTGTTGAGTCATAATAGAAGGTATGGGTATAACCAACAACGCCAAGTCATGATTTTCGCGCTACAATGCTATTGGTGGGCCTGAAACTGATCACGTGCACTCGACTCTCACTGATTTACAAACAGCTTCTTACAATAAAAATTTGCCAACAACGGATGTTGATATCACATGAATCTACAGCAATCACGCCGAATGCAAACGAATCTTATAGGCAAGTCCTATTTAACACGACTCAGTGGTTTTGACAAAAACTAATCTTTCAGTGGATCACTTTTTCTCTTATTTTCTCTGGTTGCGTTTTCAAGCCAATACTCGTTACCATTCTTCTTTGTTTTACCGCATAACTTATGTAAATAAGGACAATCGTCTTTAAAAGACTCTTGGTTCTTGCCACTAGTCACTTATTTAAACATTTTCATCATAGATATTGAATTGCAACCGTTTGAGCGCTGGACGTTGGCGGTAAACGTACTATTAGAACTTGTATATTATCAATAAAGTGTATTATTTGGCACTAATATTATGTTAACGGTAGAATGTGACACTGTAAAACTCATATTGTAATATTTATAGAATTGTTTCGTTTAATTTTGTTTACTATTCACGATAATTACAAATTTTTGTTTACTATAACATCAAAATTAAGTTATTATTATGGTTAAGTGATACTTTAAGCTATCAAGATGTGATAATGAAAAATAATGAAGCTCTTCGTTTTTAGATTATGTTACATAGTATCATGATCAACTTTTATTGTTTGATGTTGTATATTATCACAGAATGTTATCCGATGTATGATATATTATTCAGCTTAACTAGAATATTATAATGGAAAACATGATATTATAAGCTTTTAAGTTATGTTATGTTTTACTACGATGAAATAGCATTCTTCAATGTTGTATATTATCACAGAATGTTATTCGATGTATGATATGTTACTCAATATAACTATAATATTATGATAGAAAACATGATATTATAAGCTTTTAAGTTATGTTATGTTTTATTACAATAAAATAGCATTATCTGATGTTGTAAATTATCACATGATGTTATTCGATGTATAATACATTATTCAATATAACTAAATTAGCATAATGGGAAAAAAGTATTGTAAGCTTTTAAGTTATATTAGGTTTTGTTACAATAAAATAACATTTTTCGATGTTGTTGATAATTGCATGATATAATTCGACTTACCTTTATCATTATTAAGTTATTCGATGTATGATATATTATTCAACTGTGATAATAGAACTTTTGTTTGATATTTCTGCCATTTGTTCTTAATACTTGATACATGCATTATTATTCCATGTTCAGTTATACTGACAGTACAATATTTAGCTTTATTACTTTCATGCTTTATTACTGAAAACTCGAAATTATAACACTTCATTGGATATTTAATGACGGTTGGATCGGGGAATCACCTGGAAATTCCCCTTCAGGTTTCAGGAACGTCCCCAGTTGTCTGAACAAGAGCTTTAGTCTCTCTAAAATGCTGTTTAACAAGCTTTAATCAGACTTCACAACTCTAAAACACTCAGACTTTTTAAATAAAATATTATTTTTTGCCTGATATACACAAATTTGCCACCTGATGGTCTACATGGCCTACTCTACACAAATTAGTGTGCATAACACTACTCATTCTTCAGCGAACACTAACGGCCGATTTCCATTTGACATCTTTTGTGCGCGCGGGCGTAGCGCCCAAGACTGAGCATTCGCAATTAAAATCAAGTGGTCTCGATTTTGCGTCCGCTGTGAGCGCCAGAAAGTTGATAGGGTCTCAACTTTTTTGTGCGCTCGGCCACTTGAAGAGCACTTGACTATGCATGCTCAGATTTGGGCGCTACGCCCGCGCGCACAGAAAATGTCAAATGGAGATCGGCCTTAAAGAGCCGGCCTGTGAACAATACGTGAACAGCACAGACATAAGCATAGGTGTTGCTTGATGATCTTCTACCCATTATTAAGGAATGTTTACCTACCAAGCACTTTATAACAGACCAGTAAACAGCAATCTTCTTTGGTTAATATCTCTTGTACCTAAATGGCCTAGAAATCAGAATACATTATGATCTTTACGACTGTGAAACAAGCTTTAAGCGTGAAACTCGGAGTAGCATCTTAAAACCGTCCTGTTCTATTAAACCAAAAGCATGTACAGCTCTACTTTTACGACATCGAACACTTTACGACAGACCAGATAACAGTAATCTTCTTCAGTCAATATGTCTTGTACATGAATTGTTTATAAACAAGCATACACAATGTCTGATGGTCACATTAAGCTCAGTGTGAACTCTCAGTGTAAACCGTCCTGTTCTATACATGTTTGTACGGCATCGAGTACTTCAAAACAGACCAGTTAGCAATAATCCTCTTCAATTAATATGTCTTGTACATGAATTGTTTATTAATAAGCATTCAAAATGCCTGGGGATCACGTTAAGCGTCAAACCCAGGGCTACAACTTAGAACCGTCCTGTTCTATACACCGCAACTTGTACAGTTTTCCCTACACGGCATCAAGCACTACATCCCAGACCAGTTGACTTTAATCTTCTTTAGTCAATATGTCTTGCACATGAATTGTTTATTAACAAGCATACACAACTCCTGGTGATCACATTAAGCTTAGTTGAAACCCAGAGTTGCGACTTAGAGCCGTCCTGTTCTACATATATTTGTACGGCAACGAGTACTTTAAAACAGACCAGTTATAGTCAATTTCATTAGTCAATATGCCTTTTATAGTGAGGGCAACTAATTTGCCTTGCACATAAAATTTATACTAATAAGCCTACACACATTGCCTGATAATGGCTTAAGCGTTAGACTCAAAGTTTCAACTTAGAACTGTCCTCTTCTACACACCAAAATTTGTACAGTCTATACGTCATCAAGTACAATAAAACAGACCAAATTTGGATTACATTTAATTTCATTATCCAACATGCTTTATATGTAAATAGTGTATAATAAAGTATTATAATTATAATAAATAATTTGTTTACAGTTGGCGTACTAGATGAAAGTCTAATAGCTAT